CAGCTCATTCTAACGAAATCTATACTGTAAAAATGTGGCGTTGAGTACAAAATATCCACTCGCGAATAAATAAAATATAGTTTTTCAAAACTATTGCCAACGCGAACATGTCCACACCCGATGAGCTGAAAGGGTCACAACGCGAACATTTCCACACCCGGTGACATTAAAGGGTCACAACGCGAACATGTCCACACCCGATGAGCTTAAAGGGTCACAACGCGAACAGTTCCATACCCGCTGAGCTTAAAGGGTCACAACGCGAACATTTCCACACCTGATGAGCTTAAAAGGTCACAACGCGAACATATCCACGTCCGATGAGCTTAAAGGGTCATAACGCGAACGTTTCCACGCCTGATGAGCTTAAAGGGTCACAACGCGAACATTTCCACGCCCGATGAGATTAAAAGGTCACAACGCGTACATTTCCACACCCGATGAGCTTTAAGGATCACAACGCGAGCATTTCCACACCTTATGAGCTTAAAGGGTCACTACCCAACCATTTCCACACCCGATGAGCTTAAAGGGTCACAATCCAACCATTTCCACTGGCCAGAATGTCTACATTTACAGTAATTATATACAAATGCCACATTAGGCTTAACATTTAAAAAAAGTACATATTGATAACATCAAGACAAATAAGTTAATAAAAGTTTATTTATAAGTATATTATGTACAAGTGAATATTTGGAAAAACAAAGTTTTTAATATACCTATTGACAATAACTTTAATCAATTGCTGCTATACATATGACATTTTATTAAATTTTGAAATAGGATTTGCTATCATACCGGCTTTTGCTAATGAGCTATTAATGATAGTTTTGTGTCAGTTTTGGCAATTTTTGATTTCATATGTTATAGGCATTAACAACGGTGCTTTGGATGACAAACAAATACAAAGTGGATTGCATTCCAATCTGAATATGGTCACATGCTACATCTAGCTATATATGGAAACCGAAACCGAAATGTGCATTTAAAATTAAATCTGAAAAATGTACTTTGCTACGGCCATATAGCTCCCTGTTATAAGGTCGTTTGTTTCATAAACTCCCTGCAGCTACAGTTTGTAAATGAATACCCGTTACGTATTTTTCCGCTGATAAAGATGGTTGAGGAAGAATTTAGGTTGTCTTACCGGTAAGCGAGGTGGCACATATAACGAGGATTATAATATCAAAGTTTTCCCCATCTTTTAGAGAACGATTCACTGGGTGATTTACACACGGCAATCCTTACTACGTAGAGGGATATACTGCATTGCATGTAACAGCGGATAATCCAAGATTATCATGATCGGGGACAACAGTCAATGTTTAAAATTTACATCAGATCTTTTTTCAAGGCATTTAACATTAATGAAATACCAAGTGCGCATGCCCGATCTTATCAAAATGCAGTCTTAAATATAAGGTTCATTTGTCTCGAATGTGTTGACGTACTAGAAACCCATGCTAAAAAATATTCCGTTTAGCCATGTGTTTCAGTGACTTCTATTTACCTCCTTGCTTATAAAAATAATGTTATAATAGGATATATCAACAGAAATATTTTGTAACAGTCAAACAGTGATTGGTTTGTCTACTGGCGCAGTTAATGTGGGGTTCAGGTGGCGCAGTGGATATGGTGGTCGGGTGGCACAGTGGATGTGGTGGTCGGGTGGCACAGTGAATAGTGCACTCGCCTTTCACAAAGACGATAAAGCTTGGATTCCTCGATCGGACGTAAAAAGATTTGGGTCACCTGTCCAACCAGTTGCATGGTTGTCTTTCTCTATTTCGCTATAAGGGGCTATTCTATTTCTGTCAAAATGAATACAGATAATAAAATTGAATGCAATGGAGGAAGTAGAATAACTGAAAACCATGTCACTACCAGAGAGTTTAGAATAATTCTTTATTTGAAAATCGACACGATTTTTGTTTACATATATTACCAAACCTCAATAATGTAGAATGTAAATTATATATAGTGTTATTGACTTGTTTAGATTTCGTATATGTTCATGTCTTTCGAATACCCCTTTTAAGCAGACACTGCATTTGGAACAACTAACAAACATTCCTAAAAACAGCTTTACCTAGACACTACATGGTTGAATAGAATGTCTCGGTCAAATTTGTCAATGTACTGTATGTGTGTCTATCCTTCTTTAGTTTATTAAATGCCCAAATCGTAATCTCTGTATTACGATCATGATGCATTCGATTTCAGCTCCAAAGATGAGAAGCAAAAACGTAAATAGTAGCAAAAATACCGTTAAACTGTAAACTATTAATACGTAAACATACCTTACACAATGACATCATTCATGTACTTTATACAATCGTTGTTAGATAAACATGACATACAGGAATTAAACTTAACAAATACACACCATTATGATGTAGTTTGCAAGAGAGTATGAGTAAGTAGTTCGATAAATTCATAACCAGCTATCAGATAAAGCGTACTATTCTGTTGAATGTACACATTATTTAACTTCACAAAATGAATTGTTCATGTACAGATTTTGTATTGTGCCAGCAAAGTAGATATATTATGTAGAATTTTTCAGAGGTTCTGGGTTCAAATCCCCGATCATTTCGTTTCCTCAAGCAGGAAGGTTCCCATTCAATATACAAAATTAATTTTACGCTCGTAAATCCATCATTTTCCTTTTAAGGTAATTTTCTTGTATTTTAAAGTCCAAGTCATTGCTTAATATGTTGCTAAGATTGGAGGAGATGTCTCCTTATCTTGTAATTACCTATAATCGTATTTACATAGTCTGTCCTCGCTTAATGTAAGATTATATTCATCAATATTCACTGATATGAGTTGTTTCATTATTTTAAGTACATTTTATATAAATATATAAATACAACATCCATACTTTACATCTTGTTTGTCACCATATGTAGCCAAATCTGATTTTCCTATTTACAATACAATCAAACATATACGAACATGTCCATGTGAGCTCAAATGCATGTTACACACCATCACATTAGGGCTCTTAATTGTATGTACAAATATGGTCGTTGCTGTATTTTGTTTTCAATAACACTCTGTATTATTTTATTTTATGCTTCGATTTTCAATATATACGATATTTCGCTTACATATTGTTACTTACACGTACAAACCTGGAGAGTCAGGTCCCATGAAATCGCAATTGAAAAAAGTACTTATTATGATGGTGGACGACTACAGAAGTCCCCCCAAACTGCCCCCATAGTCGCAAAGATGCATCAGAAAAGGATCGCAATGCTATAATACACCAACAATGTACATACTTCATTTGAGCATCAAACGATTTCTAAATGTTGACCAATCAGAAGCCTCTGTGTGGTTGCTATGGCAACGAAACATACGCGGTTGAATTCGCAGTCCCCTAATACACCATTTTTCATCAAAATCGTACAATATCTAAATTGTGACCAATCGAGAAAAATTGTCGGACGATTTCACGGTGTAAGAAGAAGAAAAAGAATAAGATTAAGAGGAGGAATAATAAGAAACGGAGTAATTACAATATATTATTACAATATGTCCCCCCCCCCCCCCCCCCCCCCCCCCCCCCNACATAATAAAATATTATACTGCGACATTAGGAAAAAAGCATGGTAAAAATTTAGGGGAAAAAAGTTATCTGCAGCAAAACTGTATGAACATGATGAAATTTTAATTGTGCTGACCTGACATCAGTTTGAATTGAATTTACGTTTAATGAAGGCAATAATATATAATTACTCAATGAATTCAATTAGCTCTGTCGTAATTATATAAATGTGAAGTGGGTAGTAGGCAAGTACAACTGAGTTTTCCTTAAACACGTCATTGTATACGAACAAACTGAACTTCCTGATAAAAAAAAATGTTATAAAAATATTCATTATTAAGGTCGCTTTGGCGTATCCAGTGTAACAGTTTCAATTGGCTAAACATGAAAGATAACGACTGGTGCCGATTTGATTTGAGGCTTTACCTCTGAAAAATCGGCATAACCAAAAGGTTCGGTCCTGGCCCAAACTAAAATGTTTACTATCGTTAGTGTGGATTATTTCTACATAAAACAAGTTCGATTTTCATATAAACTTGAACATGTTATAAAATGTACTACACGTAAAAAAAAACACATTCGATGTTTGTTTTATTGATATTTATTCGACATCAGACTCAGTTTAAGCTGTGACCATTAGGTCGGCCTACTCTCGGGCCAGATGTATTCGTTTATCGCAACCGCATAAACATTTCTTAGGTTGCTTTGCGTATCCTAGTTGATAGGATACACAAAGCAACATAAGAAATATTTGTTCACGCATAAAATACAAATGACTCTGTTTCGAACATGATGTTCAGGTATATTATGAGTTATTTAAAGGACTATATCTCTGTTACAGACGTTTTGGTCATTCGGAAGATTAACTAGGAAGATATTATAGAACTGATTAACAATTCTGGCTTAAGGTAGTTTTCGGTCAAATGCCTTACTTTATCAGATAGGTTACACGTATTGTTTGTTTCGAAATATTGTCAAATTAATTAATTCAAACCGAGTGTTTTGCGTTCTCTGTGTGTTTTCATCTGCACATTTAGTACTTATGAGAAAACCATTTTAGAGTAAAATATCTTCTTAAATATTATCGGAAGAAAATCTATTTATTTTGTTTTATTTACTTATATGTTTATCATGAAAATGTCTTTACCTCCGTTTCTAGTAAAGCATCGTAATGCATTTATATCATCGTGAACAATAAAAAGATAAAGAAAAAAAGTTCACTAAATGTGACTCTGAACGTTTTTCGTGAGTTCATGTGCTCATGAGAAAATGAGCTTTCCGAAATGAAACTGAAAAAAAAATGTCAAATGCAATACTAATATACATGATGTACTTTTTGTATTTTTTTGTAATATATAAACATAATGAGAAATGTCTGTGATGTTGATAATGACTTCATTGCAATATATTTAGAAGACAAATGTTTTTGGTTTTTTTATATGTCGTATCTTTGAATTGGAATCTCCAATCATTAAAGCACAAGTATCCATGTACAAATCGTTAAAGGATATGAGCTATTGTTTAGCTTGTTAACAATGAGTAAGATTAATTATTGTCGCTATGGGTAAACTGACGAGCACATAAGGCGAACATATCGTCAACACAAGATGTAGAGAATTGCTGGCATTCTCTCGGCAGTCCTACCCACGTCCCATACTCTTGGTTGTGCAGGGATTCATATAGGGCTTTTTTGCAACGCTGGTATCGTTTAGATACATTTTTAGTTTCCAAATAATCGTCTTTGACAAGTTCCAATAAGCCTGCACTCCTACAGATTTCTGCATAGGACCGCAACATCCCTTGTTTACACAATCTTGAGTCAGCCCTGAAAATCATAATAAAAAAGGAACACCTGTGTAGTTTCGCATACAGAATTGGACTCGAATACAATGTAGGTAAAATGACAATCAGAATGGGCGTTCCATAGAAACAAATGTGATAGATGTGCTACTAGGCTTAGTAAAATACTAGAGAAAAAATGTGTATCTAGAATACCGTAGTCTTTATTCCCATCACTGACTATATAACGGATCAATCAATATTAACATATACAGCTGTACTAGCGGGAAAAAGAAACTGTGCGTGCCTAAAATGTGGTATAAAAATAAATGTGTATGACGTAGAACAACAAGGTTTTCAGGGACAATTTATTTGTTATTTATTAACAGTTGCATTTGATTTTCCACGTTATGGAATCAATAAGTTACGCTCAGGAGTGACGTAAACACAGCAGGGGTCAATACTGAGTTCACAAAGTTAATACCTCGTATATTCACCGTTTGCCTGAATGCAAGCCTGGCAACGTCGATGCACGGAGCCTATCGGACGGTTCAAGAATGCTTGTTGGATGGCATTCCAAATCTGTACCCCCGTAATCTGCGCTTCATTTCATCCCAGACGTGTTCAATGGGCGGCAGATCGGGGGATACAGCAGGCCACGGCAGCACGTCAACGTTCTTCTGGGTCAGAAAGTCCATAGCGACACGAGCTGTGTGTGGCCTGGTGTTGTCTTGCAGTAGCGTAATGTGACATTGCTGCCCTTGCACGAATGGAACGACGTGGGTCCGGAGGATCTCGTCACGGTAACGTAGCGCGTTCAAATTCCCGTTAACAATCACCAGAGGCGTTCTCCCGTTGGCTGCGGTGCCGCCCCAAAACATAACGCTGCCGCCGCCGAAAGAACGTCGTTGTACCACACACGCGTCACGGAAACGTTCTCCAACGCGACGATACACTCTGGAACGGCGGTCACTACTATCGAGGTGGACTCGCGACTCCTCCGTAAACAAAATGTCTGCCCAATCCCGTCGAGTAAATCGCAGATGCTGCCTTCTGCGCCAGTCCAGACGTGCTACACGATGACGTGGCAGAAGAACTGGGCGGATTGCAGGACGTCGCCGACGGACGGATAGCTCGTTCACGCAATCGGTTCCGTACAGTTCTCGGGCTTATTGGTAGCAACCCAGGGATTGTCCGTGCAGTCAAACTTGCCGTTTGGAAGCGATTTCTCAAATGGACACGCCGACAAAAAAGTGCAAACTGGTCAGCGCCTATAGAGAGCAAACTGCACGGGGAAAACTGTCAATGACACACGGATAGTGTGTATGTGTCATACTCGGTCATGTGTGTGAATTTATATATATATACAGTTGGTAATACATGTTCTATAACAATTTTCCGTATGCACAGTTTCTTTTTTCCGCTAGTATATATAAGAGTGCCAGCAGTAAAACAACAGAATATCTATAATGCAAATACAAAACAGCATACACCACGGAGTAAACACACGTAGATAAAGACCTTTAAGACAAATTAAACTTCAACATAAAAAGGCAAACAATATCAAATATTTACCGATGTTGATTTATTGAATTCATTACAAAATGGTTCAAACTATATGCGTCGGTTTTCCTTCTTTTTTATTTAGTTGTGTTATCTTTCTTTGAAAATACAGTATTTAAATAGTTCAGTATGTTGCATACGTATTCTATTTAAATGCAGTTTACATAATTTATTTTCATCGCATTATACCTTCTTTAATTTTTCATTTCAACAAATTTTATTGACAAAGTTGATACAAGTCAATTGGATGGAATAACAGGCAAAGCCTCTATAAATTCTCTCCAGCGGTGGCTAAATTAACGGATTCTAAAATTATAAAAAATAAAATATTAAAGGGATGTTACTCCTCCTTAATTAACATAACTGAAATACAAATACATTCACACTTCTCACATCACACACAAAACACTTCCACAGGTATTATTTATTTTTATAACATTTTACAATTGTATATAAGCTATATAGCTATCAAATCACACAGATATTGGCAGACATTGACCAAAAGTCCATGTGCAAATATATGCACAGGTCACAGTCGCCAAAACTGTTAAGTTATTATAGTTTAATATGAAAATAGATAGCTAGTCTATGTGTAATTCAATGTATAAGATGGAAACTGTAAAACAAGACAGATTGAACAAATCTTACAACAAACAACAACAAACAAACATGCTCAACTTAAAACTCCTATGTCCGTAGAAGAATACCATTTATAGAAAANGTATAAGGTCATGGCTGGTTAGATCGTATAGAGATTTAATATCATGCAAAGCTCTCTATTTTCTTTTCAGTTAAACTTCAATTCCACTGTTAATGTAAATCTCAATTCAGTTTGATTAGAATATTAAACAAGTTGGGTGTAAAGAGTATTACCAAGTTAAACATATTATTACTTTTTTGGCTGATATGAAATTGTACTTAGATCATTTTCCTCAGAAGTATTCAAAAAAGATAATCATCTAGTGAGATTTGTTACATATATATAATTGTTTGGAATTTGAGTGTTGCCAATAAAAACAAACATAAAAAGATACATACACACTGTTTATCCTTCACGTAACATATGTGGTAGTCAAAGGATTATAAATTCACAAAACCGAATACGGAGACTATGAATACCATGACAATGGAAGTTACTCTAAGTCAAAAAGTTTCCTTAAAACTCTGAAGTAGAACTCTCTATTTATTTAATTATTCGATACCTGTTACCTTTAAGCACAAATAAAAAAATTAAAAAAAAAGTTTTACTAAGAGATAATATTTCCCATCTCTCTTTCTCATTAAATTCTTAAGTTTTGTTGTACAATGATAGTTACAAATGTATCATATTAGATTAATATAACATAAACGTCTTACTTATGTTGGGCGAATCCGCTGCTGATATTTGGTACGCCTGTTGTTCCATTCGTCAGTTCAGCGCATTCGTCCGCACTGTTCCAGTTAATGCAAAGTGCCGTTGATTTCTCGACGCTTCGTAGTGGTTCCTTCGTTCGAGAGACAGCGCCAAGTAATGGATGGTTAACCTTATAACCATCTGGTAATGATCGAATTCGGCAGCTTTTTTCTAGTCTGCAGCACATTGCACGAGCTATGTGTCCGTGGTTGTAGAGAGTTCCTTAAATGGATATATTTAATAAAACTTGTATAGAATATTTATTTATCTATAAAAAACAAATCATTTAAAAAAAAGCACATATTTTCTTTTTACTGTTATACATTTGTAACATATGGTAAGTCTTATTATTCCATGAATAAAGTTTTGCTTAACATCAAATCTACGAAAACGTTTGATGTACAGGAAGTAATAGTAGTTTGTTGAACATATTAAAATGTTAGACATAAACAGAACGAAGTGGAGCACTTTAAGGCGTTTCCATGTCTTGTTGATTTGGTCTCAAATAATGGAGTATCAGGGTGGGAGATCGTATTGTTACCTAAGGTAATGGAGTTGAAGTACACAGGCTTCATCAGTGTAGACAGTAGCGCCCCCTGCATTCCTAACAGGTTCCACTTGCAGATCTTATCACTACAAGACATAACACGCAACCGTTCTCCACGCCTCACATTGTCCATACCTTGGTACTGGTGACTTTCTCGAACCTTTTTAGTCGGAATCTGTCCCTCACCTGTGCAGTAAGTGATTGTATCTCATCGAAACATTACTGGAGGAATGGTAAGTACTCTTGAGCAAGGCGTCTTTGTTCAATCGGGTTTATTACTAGAAATTGTGTATGTCTGTTCAACGTATTGTAACAGTATCAAAATGAAATATTTAGATATCCCAGTATGGTCCTATTTATTAAAATAGGTTCTGTCATGAATTTTCTTCCATATTAGACTGAAGGTATGATTTTTAATTTTTCATATTTACGAGCATCTGGCATATGAATACAATTAACCGACACTAGCGTTGCTACATTGTTCTTTACACGCGGTTATAAAGAAAAGATATATTATGAATTTATTACCATAACATTGTACACAGAAGTCATATGATACAAATAGAGGATCTTACATGAGTGATCATGTCATTTAATTTGATACAGCACTCGTCTTTATAGCATAGTCACTCCAGTAAGTTTCTATTTATCACATAACATTCGTAATTTGAAAACAAATTTCAAACACAAGTGAATGTTTTCAGCTGGCTCTATAAACACTGTAGGTAAACAAACTCCGATCCTAGTATTGTCGTTCTGCGGAGTGCAAAATAGTGCCAGATTTTTTTAAATTTTTGATGATGAACAGTTTTTCATGCAATGCAAATAAGTATAATTATGATTATTAAAAAAGCAACATCTTAAATTCATTTCAAATAAAATTAAATGTTTTATATGGTAGAGTAAAAATACGTTATACTTGTAGGAATATGTTTTCATGCTTTTGACCAATCGCAGTTCCTGAGGCTTTAGTATACGTCTGCGATACATATTTATGATATTGCCGTTTGACAAAGTAAATTAGGCCAGTTATGGGATAAATATAATTATCCAAAATTTGAGTATTTGTATGGACAAATGGTAACTGCCAAAACTCGTTTGCTGTCAATGTAGTATTTTTATTACCGTTAAAGCTTAATTTTAATGAAAAGAACCATAAACACTTTATAACAAATATAACATAAAATTACTGTGCTGCAATATGTCGGTAAAACAGTGATAAAGGTAGCAGTCGTAAAGTGCCATAAATCCTGTACGTACATTGGCTTGAAAAGATTAAATATTTTGACTGACTTATAGTCATGTCAATTATAAGCGTGCAAACACCCTCCCCGACTGTTACTTTTCTCAACAGAAGCAGGGTTTAGGCTATGTTTACGTCATCATTAGCGAATAGTATAACATACAATAAACATGCTGAGTGTTACTCTAAGCTGATTCAGTTCTCACCCGTTAAGTAAAAGCCTTGCAATACTTAGTGGTGGAACCCTTTTCCTCCATAAGCGCATTCCATGGGCTTACTGCGTCATCGATGTACACTTTCGCTTTATTGCGCTGTTGATCTGATTCTAGAATCTACATGTACCTTTTTCTCACCGATTCTGTCTGCTTGCTTGGTTTACCACGTGTAAGCAAGGTCATCGCCATTACATGTATGTCGCTGCTCATACTTAACGCCATGTAAAGTATCGAATTCTTTACGGCGCGTAAGAACATAAAATAACTTTTTGTTTCATTTCATTTCACTTCCTGAGTGTGGTATTATCGGAATGTTGATAACTTTTGCTTTGCAAGATAAATAAGAAATGTCAGATTGATCACGTTGATAAAAAAACTAAGGTTAGCGGCACAGTACCTATAAGTGACAATAACATGATCAAGTCTATCGATATCCCCGCTGACAGAGACCTGATGACGTGGGGGTTTGAATAGCTCTATTGTAAACAATATACATGCATGTCATACATTACCTTGTTCCACTTTTGTCCTCAGCAGTCCTTGTTTATTATCATCAAATATCGGGTTGTGACTGCCATCAGGTTCTACTTCTGACTGGCCGGAACTGAATATATATATGTATATATATATATAATATTTATAATAAAAAAGGATTAAGTTTTAACGATAATAGCCATTCAATGAAAACAGTAATTATATATATTTATATATAGATCAAAGTAATGAGATACCTGCTACCTGCATGTTGCAATAACTGCTTTCTGCTTCAAATTGCAATTGCTGTTTCTACTCCTGTGAAAGTGACCTTGTATTTTCTATTATTAATTTGTGTTAATTGCACTGGAAAGTTTACGATGGACCTTAATTAAGATATTAAATCAGATAAATATTAACCATTAAAGGACTTTTCAAACAAAAATGACCTCGGCTTTTTATGAGTTGTTATGATGAAATCAAAGGTGGTTTGTTTTAAAGGGGTGTATTAAAAGCATCGCATATAAGCTATATATTATAACTAATTTATTCATTTAAATCTGATATTAAGGTAAAGGGCATCAACAAATTAAAATGTGTTGTTGTCATTGTCACTGCTCTGAAATAACTAAGTCCTTATTGCAAGTCAAATTTTCATTTTTTCAAAATGTTCAAGATCTTCAATACCCCACCATTACACATGTATATATAAAGGCCAGTCAATTTACAACAATTACGAAACAAGATACACTTATTTCAATTTTCATGTTGGCCAAGATGTTTTCGCGAGGGGTAACTAATTAATGTGGGAAGAAACCGGAGTATATGGAGCAAACCCACGTGGTTGTTAGGTGACTCCGTACACATTCACTCTGATTGGTGAAAGCGAGTGAACTGTCAATTGCGCAACCGGACCACCTTTCACTGAATTATCTCCCATTTTACCCGTTTAACATGTCTTTATCATCCACAGGAGTATGACAGGTGGCACGCAAAAACAAAACAGAACGAAGAAAGAAGTCAGGGGAACAATGAATTATGACGTCACAATCAATTTCCGATGGGAGAGGTCAATTGCAAAACAAAGAAAGTTTCTGATGAAAATATTAGGATAGGAGAAAATATCCCCTACATTGATGATGTAACAGTGGAAATCACCGACCCTCGGGGTGGATGTTTTCTTGTATTACCCTCTGTCACACCCTCAAGGTAGGAGGAGATTTTTTATCAATTATGAAGCTCAGATCAAGGGTATCTCTGAGGTACTATATGTATCCATGTCACCATCAATAACTGTATTATCAGTTACACCGACGGAGTGACCAATCTTACAGCAGCTCGCGAGCTAGGTCAGTTATAAGTAAGTTCTCTGATACGGAGATATATATGCCCGATTTAACCGCTTATCAGGTTGTGTGCAGTCTGTCGCAGTGTACGTACAATATCCATTGATAGTAACATCAAGACAAAACTGTATCATTGTATTTGTTATGGGAAAATTATACAACGATCATCTGACTCCAATCAGCCGCAATATTTGTTGGTCAGTACGAGGCGCGGACGGGTCGTTCCCTTTTAGGACAGGAGATAATAAATTTACATTCTAGAAGTTTAATACAGTTTTAAAATTCAAGTGACAGTCTTTTGCTTGTATGAATGTAAATAAAAGAAACCGACGAACTAGATTGCATATGGATCCTTATTGTGAAATCTGTTTGTTAATGGGTTTACAATTTTTGACTAGATTTTAACCTTAAAAAGAGTTTAAAATAAGGGCTGTGTCATCATGGGGAATTCGTCATAAACAACCTTTATTTGAGAAGATAAACTGCAAATACATATCAGATTAATTAAAAGGAGAACCTTACAATTTTAAATCCTAAATACTTTTATATAGCTATATTTTTTTTTATTGTAATCTATTATATTCACATCTCTCCCTTCTTCAGCTTAGTAAACCCTGCATACAAATTAGTGTATACGCAGTAAAAACGGCTCGGCGGATTAACAGTTGTTTCAAATATGGCGTTGTTTCCGGTTCAGTGAGATAACTGTTCGATGACAGCTATTGCGTCGTTCCCTCAACAACTGGAAACATGGAACATATGCGAGATCCAATATGTCTTGTTATTTAACAAAGCGATGCTTTCAAACTTCTTATTCCGTGGATGCGCATTTAAATTTCTTTGAAGGTTAAGTAAGCAATATCGGTTTCGTTCTGGAACATTCGACCGCGTCACTACCAGAGCAGCGTGTCAATGCGCATACATAACTACCTTTATAAATTAATGCTTCTCAGACTAATCCATTTAATATTTAAAAGTTATAAAAGACCAAAATTAGTGTTGTCCACTGTGTCTTTTCTAAATCTGCTTATATTTTGATGTTTTTCCATTTTAATCCTTATACATGGCACTTTGAGCAACACGTTTACTTAATTATCCTGCAACAATGAATTAACTAAAACGATTTTCACGATAAAATGGTATGGGTATTATGAGGTATGTAATTACAGTTACCTGTGCGTAAATGTAGCTCCGTCTCCACATGGTGCAGTGGATATATACAGATGAAACTGGATATCTGGAGCTAACTCAGCCTGTTCCCCCTCGATTCTTTGGAGGACGGTGGACTTTTCCCCTTTGCTTAGTTTTGTTAAGTGGTAATAAAGGAACCTGTAAATAGATTATATTGATCTCATTATCCAGAAATATATTATTGATAAAAGTTATATGCAATAAGAGACATTCATGTTGAAATACGAAAGTATATTTTAATTACTACAAACCAGTTTGATATTAAGTGAATTCCTTTGAAAATGAAACACACACAGTATTAGACTGGTAGTGCAACACATGTATGATTTTTCATAGAACAATTTGTTATCTTGATCCGATACTCACTTTCGCATTCCACGAGCAGCAAGGATTTCAGCGTGTGAGTCTACCAGCACGTGCCCATCTGTCGTCAATGCATCCCCTTTTATAAAGCGGTTCCCTTCAAACAAACATATCCAACTGTGATGAATGATTATGAGTAACCTAACTAAAGCTAACCATGCTTGACCCAGGACTCGAGTGCATCATGATTTGTTTGCTTTATAATCGTAATGAAGCCTGTATATAGGTACGGGGTGGGAATCTCAACTTTTTCCATGTTATGAACACGGGATTGAGACCCTGGGGATTGGTCAGGACCTCCGAGATAATCCTAGTAGCATAAAAGGCTCCCCCATCTTAATGCCTAACAGTTGTATATCTGATGATAGGTTGGGTTTTTAACCATTTCCAAAATACGATATAAATATTTATACAAAACTTAGTCCCCTTTACTAGGGGCTTTGACTCTTTATCAAAATTGGTTAAAACCCTTCAATTCCTTTCAAAGAGAAGGGTTTTCGAAATTTAAAAAAACTAAAATCTGTTATTCTCTATCTCTGCATTGCCAAAGGATGCTCCAGAACAAACTCGATTTACTTCTATTTTCCCTATTTGGCCCCGGCGCTCCGCCCGCAAGGCGGCACACTCTACATTTTTACAAATGGAGTCCTTTTGTCTAAATATGCTCTGGAATTAATTTGGTCAATATTTACTGAGGTGTTAAGGAATAGTAGCGTTTTCAAAGAATAAGTTGACAGACGACGGACGAAGGACGGCGGACGCTCCGCCATAGCATAAGCTCACCGGACCAGGTAAACTTAAACCCAACAACTGACATCGGTTTGAAACTTCAAAAAAGAAAAATGTGAACCTTTTTCACAATAATTGACATAACTGTCGTCGTAAATATTCAAAATCACATTTGAATTCTTTAAATAGTGAATATGAAAAGGAGAACAACAGTCGTTGAATATATATATGTACGATAATCAGAGATGTACCGGAGGCTATGCTGATGACGTCAAAAGTGTTCGTAGTTTTTGTTTCCATGACGATGCCTGCTATCACTTTACGACCGGCAAGGTTCTCGGGTATGTCTGCAACCACAGTGTTAAACTTCTCGTGACAGAGCTTTGCTATTCTATCATGGAACGTCAAAGGCTCGCTTATCGAGAACTGTAAATGCATAAGTAACGCATTAGAAGTAACCTCTTTAAAAATCTAAATTTATGATTAACAAACCTGAAATTCACTTCATTCATATCTCCAAAGTCTTACTGAAATTTTCTTTGTAGTCATGGTAATTTTCCAAATGAAATAAATATTTTTTAAAAATCGGCTTAGAATTTATCATTATATCTGAATAGTTAATCCATTCGAAATTCATGGAAAGTATCTAGCAATAAATCTTATGAAATTGGTTGCACGAATTGATTTTAAATATCAATTATATTTGAACATTTGTATCATAAATTCACAGTATCGGTGAATATGCCAAAAATACATCAATTACAAATATTTAGAATAAAGTTAAACTAAAACAAGTCTTAATTGTAATTTGTAACGGGGACCGTTAGACAAGTCCTCAAAAATACCATGATTGTCGCAAATGATGCATCAGAAAGATACTCCTGTAAAGTTTTGGTTTTCCGGAAACCATTTGGCGGGAGAAAAAGAAAAAGAGAAAGAAGAAGAATATGGTGGAGAAAGAAGAAACACAGCAAAAACAAGAAGTCCCCAACTTTGTTTAGCTGGGGACTTAATGATCAGCACGTACCGCAGATAAACCCGATGTAAACTGGTAAATTTTCTTCTGTTTTAAATGCCTTAATGCGGTTCGGGATGCCTCTCTCTTTGCCTCTTTAATTGTACTGGCTGACGCTCTGGGATATGTCACATTATCTAAAATCGCACCAAGGGTAAACCTCGAGAAGGGAAATTTGTGTACAAAGTTAATGAGGTTGAATTCATGTCATGACCATTTATAAGTATAACCATTTTCACAAATTTTGCATTTTATGTGTTGGCCGATACACTGTATTCTCTCATGAAAACTTTTGTTTTACGCACTTTACAATGGTACTGTTATTACTTCATGTCATTTAAAGAAAAATACCAGTAACGTGATACATTCGTTATCGGCTGACCGGATATGATATTTCATTGTTTCACCGTCTCATTCAGTCAAAAAAAAAATGTCATGCTTATTCTGTGACACATGTAAAATACATGTATTAAAACGAAACATTTGTTAACTTACATTCTTTCATGATCTGCCCCGGAAACATCCGGATCCGGAAACGTCAATTCTAAACCCTTCTTCTGCGCAAACTCATTGAGGATGCTGATCGGGTCAGCACCAGCAGGACATATCCCAGCGTTCTTGTCGATTATAGGTGGTGAAGGTGCGAGCTTTTAGGTAGCAAAATATAATGATATGTTATATTCAACCCAGTAATTCTTCTTAAAGCATAAACATGTGTAAATTCTTGTACGTGGTACCACTGCGATAAAAGTTCTAGAGAATGTACCGATTGAACAACTTACTGTTGACCACAAATGGTCAAAATATAAAAACATAATTAAGACGTATTGTTTGGAAATCGCCAACCAATGAAATTCATGGAATAAGTCATCACCTAATTAAATATGCATAGGTGTCATTCATCTTTGAAATTATTCTGCTCACTCTGAATAGCAATATATTAAAAATAAGTATGCACGACTAAAAGGCCGGACACAAGAAACAATCACACAAATACTCTTACATTTTCGTATATTTTGCAAAAGTCGCATGTCACACTGATCTGCTGTTTGCAGCCTTATAGCAACCATTTTTTGGTGAAAATTATAAATGCTGATAGTAGGTTATAATTTTGATGATAAAAAGAAATGATGTCCAAAAATAAAGGTAAACATGTTTATAATAAATGGAACTTTCTCATTTTCAATAATTAGCTACACACATAACGGCATGACACAACCATTTGTTTAAAATGGTGGGAACAAACAATCAATGGTTCACAAATAGAATCTGACACATTGACGAATGTTTGCTAATTCATATCAACACATAAAGTATCCAAAAAAGCTTTATATGATTCGCCCCATATAATTACAAATAAAACATAACATGCGGCTGGTGCCACAATTTTACAAGTACCTTCAATATCTTTATATTCGTCTTACCGAGAATCCTGGGTACGTCAAAGCCCTGGGTGAGGGCCTTGGTGCCAACATATTGAGAGACGACTCAGCAGCATCCCACCTCGCCTTTTTTTTACTGCTGCCTGTTCCTTCGGCTAACTTTCGTTTTCCTATGTAAGCCTGCACAGTAAACCTAAGGCAAAATTAAAACAGTTTATTTATCAGCAAAAGAATCGAAGGAAAGCACGATCTCCTAAAAAGAAACAAAAGGTAAACAACCTGGAGGCAAAACCACTTGTTTTGTAGGCTAAGCGTTTGCTGTTGTATATTTTGTGCCTGTCACAATATCTCAAGCCATGCCCAGAAAATATTTAGATTACCAACGACTTAAAACATACCGAACAGATCCTTCATCGTGGTTGCCAACGAATTATCATATAGTGATATTAAGTCATCGTGACAACTGTAAAAAGTATTGATAGAAGCGCCACATGAAGAAACCCTTGGATGAGAAGAAACTTTTAAGTTGAGGTTTATACCCAATAAACCTCAACAGAACAGATTTCGACCCAAATTGAACCCAACAGAGTAATAACGAGATCGTAACAAAATAGTTTCGTTTTAAATTATTATTTTCTTGGCATCTTCGGTGATATAGATCTTATAAAAAGGATCCATGTGCATTGGAACATAGTTATTGGCATTTCTTAAAATAACTTTAAAAAAAAAAAATCCAAATAAAACCAGCCATAGGTTTCGAAGAATAAAAAAGCAACGATGACAGATCAGCATTGTAACCCTGGAAGTCCGACCACAATAGGGTTGTTCTAACAAACTGGGCTTCCTGATCAATGGTAGCTACATGGCCGAGCCCGACTTCTGGTATATCCAAACCGAAAAGGGGATGTTTCTGTATGTACTTAAAACACTACAGTGGAATCTTTATTTCTATTTCTTATTTTCACTAAATGTATTTCTGGAATATCCGAAACTCTGTTGAGACATGCATTAATTTTTTCAAAACATACATACGTTGGGCAATGAGAAGAACCACATTTAAATTCTTCTTCAATCCTTCCAACTTCTCCATTCGCTTGTGCGTATTCCATGAATTCACTGACGGGATGTTTACTTCCGGATCCTGTAGGGACATAATTGGAGTTGCTTCTCTGAACAACTTCATCCCATGCTGACACTAATGAACTTCGATCACTTTCAGAACTACTAACAGGTGCATATCTTAGAACGGACACGTCGCTAAGAGTCGAACTATGTGCATCAGTTTCTGCCCCATCAGAATCACTAGCAGACGCGCTCTGCCTGCTATATATGATCTCTGGGAGAGATTTTGATGGTTGCTGATTAGACTGCGGCTGTAAAATAAGGCTGTTATTATCATCAATTACACAGATCAGCTTCACCAATTAAAGCAAAGAGTGTGCAGTATCTCTTGGTCTTGACGATTGCTAAATATATATTCTGCTTATGTTATTAAAATAGTAAAAGTATATAGTTAGGTGAAATAAAGTGAATGACATGTCATATTTTTAATTTCAAGTTACCAAAGAGCAAGTCAGCGTGTAGGTATAGATAATGGTAATGCTCAGCCAAGAGATTTCCCATATACTAATAACATTTTAAAAATTTCCCAAAAATGTTTTTAACCGTCCATGCCGTCTGTTGTAATTTGAACCCGTGTTTAACGCTAAAGTGGACAATTTTAATTTTGCATTTTTTGTTATGTGAAATAATTGGAGATGTAGTCAATGAAAGACGTACTTCAAGCACATAGATAATAGAATACAAAGAAACATGATACGATGGTATTTGACAGAACACATGTATTGATAAATAATTAATTGGTTTCACTATTCATAAAAGGTCGATCATTCAATATGATAATCCTACCAATTATTACAAGCTCACATACTACTAATTTACTTTGTACAAACTTAATATCTTGTAAACGCTATCATATCAAAATATTGTTATTCAAGTTGACACGAGAACCCCTATCATCCCGCAGGCTCAGATGTCAAAAGGCTGATATAGGTCGAAGGTTGAGATGGGGTAGGATATCGGTAGGATATCGAAATTGACTTATTGTGACTCTTTATCGTTTTTATACAAAATCAATAATTGTTCATTAACATAACACATACAAAATAAGTTTTATCTGTGGCGATTTGGGGGCAGATGGTTGATGATGTGAATTTTATTATGAGGGAAGTAGGATGGATATGGCGTGTACAAAACAGATATGACGAGTGGGGGCCAGATATGAATTGGATCGCCGATATAGGCCTATAAAGTGCTTATGTAGCAAATAACAGATAACGAAATCGCTTACGTAAAGTGGCCCATATCACTGACAATTATATGATAAAGTGAGTTATCACTGTATTAATCCGACACACGCATCTGATAACATATTATGTGCATGTAAAACAACCACTCATCGGATTAAATAAAGTATGTCTTTACTGAAACGTCCCTTAAGATAACGTATATCATGTAGAGCCTCTATCATAAATAATCAATAAAATTGATTCATTTAACTTTTACCCATCTCTTATGTAATAACCTATTTTATAACTACATGTATCAAGAGTCTAACTGATGTATTCAAATGAATGATGTGCTAGTGCATCATACAAGTGAATGATGGGTCATTATGAAATGATAACTAATGTTTAGCATTACCAATACCCAATTCTGAAGAGATTAAAATGGGAAGTGCAGTAAAATAACGTGCACTGTGTTTTACATTAATAGGGATTGAGCCATATATTCTAGAAACGATTTGGTCATTAGCCATATATTTCAATGCCTAACAAGCCTAAAACATCACTGGTACCACGCTAGTGAAAACTATACTAATTCCTTTAATTCATTTGGAAATCAAATATTCATCCAGACACCAAGTAACGTCAACAGTTGCCACAACGTTATTTTAAGTGATTTAGTTAAAGTTAGCAGATTATTATAAGTGATATATACAATGTATCAAACCTCTATCCCTTATTTCAAAGAAATGATTTGAATGTTCACATAACGCTGAGGTGAGCATTGTGATACGACCTGATTTGTTCCACTGTTTTTGTAAAGGGACCGGAGAGCCCGGTCCGCTGCCGCCTCCTCTGCTTCTTTTTTCCTATCTCCTGTTCCACTTGCAATGAACTTTGCAAAATACACTTTACATCCAAATCTGAAATAACAAGAAAATTGACTAAGTCAATTGCCATTGTCATTTCATCAGGTTAACAGAGTTCAAAGTGAGATGTTCGTCTCTCTTGCAAACCATGTAAGGAAATATTTTTGAAAAAAAATATTCATTTCAAATTTATTCCATGACCAATTTCATTAAATTGCCATCAACGTGGTCAGGACTTTGGGATAAATTCTGCTTCTTCATTTACATATTTTATATCAATAGAGAAGGATATTACTGTAGCTCTTGACATTAAAACATCTTTTTGTTCCCATTTTGTTAGACATGTATCTTATAGGATTTGCACATTTACAAAAAATAAGTCATGTTGAAACCTTTTTGTACAAGTAGTGTGAAAGTTATACGACCAAATAGTTTATTTTCCTATTTTTTAAAAATGTTAGTTTGAGAATATTTGAAAGACATACAACTTCGTCAAACTTTACATCACTTTAAAAAACTTGTAACGGTTTCTTGCTTTATTATGGTATATTTTCCCTTACGTCAACGTCTTCATAAATATATTTAGTATTTGTCCATCTATATTGACAATAAGATATAATTGTATCGGCTGCTTTTGTTATTCAAAGGAAAAGTTTGTATAAAACAGGTACATGTAAATAGAAAAATAACCCCCCGTATGAAAAGATGTTGTGATGCATACTTACCCTCCCTGACTAGGATACGTTTCATATCGAACCTCTGAACCTCTCTTGGCAGCATACTCCTGAAGTCTACTGATACAATTCTTGTTGATATTGTCTAAATGTTCACGCCATCCTTCCGCCATGATTACAGTCACGACAGCAAAATAACTTCCTGTTCGAATGTTTATCAAAACAGCTGGTCTTCCGCTAAAGCGACAAAGTACAGTAGATATAGAGGTGTACCTATATAGTGATAGCCACGTTAACAATATATGTAAGTGTCGTAGTGAATATCATTAAATTTGCAATGATACATTATTAGTTATACAGGTCTTTGGCAGGGGACATGGTCTCATGTTCGCTGTCAGGACCTTATGTACCCTGAGCCGAAGGCGAAGGGTACATAAGGTTCTGACATCGAACATGAGACCATGTACTCTGCCAAAGACCTGTATAACGAATTTGTCATACTGCAAAGCCATTTATAGGTTGGGACTCGTGTTTGCCAGAAGACAGATACTGTGTAGGGCGGTAGTACGGGAAAACAGAAAAAACATTTTTTGTATAATTCCAACAATTTAATAAATTTTTAAATTATAATAAGTCAACATTATGGTTTTGAAACAACATTAAATAACAACTCAGTTCCTTAACAACTCGTAACGATTGATTTTTTCTTCATTTTTCACTTTTTGATCACAATGTTCAGTTTGGTAATCTGACAGCTACTAAACAAGGGCGTTGACATCATCTGAAACGATACGCTCTGTGCGGACGTCGTGTGCGGGTCATGCATTTCACTAAACAGCTGATCCAGTTCAAGACCTTGTAGATCTGGCGGCAATTCCTGGTTGTTACCGGAAGGGTTAATACCAAAGTCAGGACGTGTAGCTACCGTATTGGAAATAACTGGCGTCACATTCTGGTGTGGCGGGAGTAGGGCAAGTCTTACAGGGGGAGGCAGTACGAAAGGCACGTTCTCTTTCCCAGCAGTCGGAGAGATTCCACTCGCAATGGCCCTGCCCATGTTAGTTTTTTCATTGGCTGACACACGTTGGTACACAGCTAGAGAAGAGATCGATTTATGGCCGGTGATTGCCATAATTTGTGACGCCGCAAAGTTACTTTGAGTGAGAATGGTGGCTGCTGTAGCGCGGATACAATGGTTTGTATATTGTTGAGAAAGTTTACACTTCTGGCTCATGTTGGATATAAATTTGCTGAGTGTATCTTCTCCAATGGGACGGTTGGCATACCACACAGAATCTTGTCACAATACGAATCTAACGGAAATTGCCACAATCTGTCGTTTTTAGGATTTAGACAGGTACTTCCCAAAAGACTTGACATGGCAATACGGCGAACCAGGTTCTTCTGGCATGTGTCCGGTGAAGAGTTCCTTATCGTCACGGTGATTTTTGGCTAACTCATCAATGTCTTTTGTCACAAATTTCAGATTTGGTTTTGGGTCTGTTTTAACTTTAAACATTGATTTCGTCATTTTTTTCCATGTTTTCACAACCCCTTCTACAAAAGTATAGTCTAACGTGAAACTGCACTTTATTGGCCAGACCTGCCGGTGTTACGGCCGACATGTGTATCGACGTGTACATTTTTTCTCTATCTGAGGGACAGATGACATTATGGTGGTTTATTACTCCTTTCCCACTTGATTTTAATTCGGACACAGCAGTTTTAAAGCACTCGTTAGATTCGTTGAAGTCCTGATCTTTTAACAAATCAAATTTCTTCGAGACAGGGGGAGCTTTCAAATACCTGTTAAGTCCGTGACGAAAATGTTCAAGCGTTGTCGTCTTGTAAAGACTGCCATCCTGTTTCCTTGCATCGAGATAAAAATGACCAAATGCCTCGTCTAATCTTGGCTTCGAGAAGTCCTCAAAATCTGTGTCTTGCTCCTTTTCGCTTAAGTATGCTCTGAAGGTTTTGCTTGCTGAATTGTTACTTCTCTTTGTGTTTGTAGGTATGAGTGTAGCCCGTTTTGTCTCAATTTCACTCTCCGTGTGGCTTGCAAACCGTTTCGCTATTTGGTTGATTGTTGACATTAGCAGACGAACGTTCTCCGGTGTGTTCGATTCGAATCTTCGAGTTATCTCCCTTACAACAGGCGCGCGTGGTCTTATGTAACCCGGCAAGGATACTAACATAGCTTCAAGTACCTTGGCAATTCGACCAATCACCGTGCGACATTTTTCTTTGCAGTATGACAAAATTTCTTAAAACACTAAATGATATAATGCAGTATACATGTTGTGTTTTTCACCTGTATACATGTATATTATCATTGTTTATATTTAGTTAAAATCTCACCCGAGCTCTAGTGATTTCTTATTGACAGAAAGATAAGTGACTGATTTACTACTGTAGATATTTATGGTATGATAAATACATGTATACATCCCTCTATCAATATAGGTCTAATATATGTTGTGATATGTAAGTGAAAGTGTTTCTGTTTTGAAAAAGGGGCGGATTGCTCAGACCATTTGACAAATGTCTGTGTCTGCACTGCCGTTATTACTTATATACATATACATATCTAACCAACATTTGTTTGTTCGGATCAAGTCAGTGTCCATATTTGATCATACTGTCGTTATTACCTATGATACCTATACCTCTATTAATAAAGATATACTCACCCAGCTAATTACTGTACGAACCTCCTATGTAAAACACATACTTCCTTATTATATCTTCAATACTTCCTGATGGCTGAACCTCCTACGAAAAAATACAAACTCCTTTATCATAACTTCTCTCATCTATAAATAGAAAAATTGAATTTCAGTGAAACAAATTATGCATTTCTATGCGTTCCGTGTATTTTGGTTTCGGTTTCGATTTAAATTTTATGTTGTAGTTTAAAGTGACTCAATGTCAGCTTAATGGATCGTGTGCTTTAGAAACGCAGGCCAGTATCAACTTCAACTGCACAAAAGTGCAACGAGGCTTGAATGTTTAAGACATAATAATAAGTAGTGTGTACCTTAATTTCGCGTGGTGGATACATTCTGTTATTGTGCAGAATATATTCCTGTAAAAGAGAAAGGTCTCAAACTGTCCATTCCATGAAAGAATGAACTAATCGAGGCCTGTAATATCAATATCAGTTTAAACATCATTTTGGTAGATTTTAATGTGTAGACATGTTGATTAACATTAAAATAACACATGTGAACAGAGAACAGTAAATTATAATGGCACTTGAATTGCATGCATCACGAAAAACAAATATAAAAATTCCTGAAGCAGAGGGTAAATCAAATCAAACATCACATATCACCTAAACCAACACTGGTGCCAGTTAAATTATCTCAGGAAATGTCTATTGGATCGACTCTACCTCCAAGTACTGATCATTGTGTGTGACGATCTGTTGGAGTATTCCTTAACTAAGATTTGTGTTTTTCTATTCCATCGATAATCATATCTTAAAATAATTATTGTATTACTGTGTTCTCTCTTCAAGCAAGTTTTACAGCATTGTGTTAATCTATTCTCAAAGACTTTCTCCTCAACAACATTCAACATTGATAAGAGCAGCTGAATTATTTATGGATAAGATATAAGTATCTGTGGTGTTTCAATGGATTGTATTTATTGTTCATTTTTATCATATTTAAAAGTACATATAATGTATATAGTAAATATATATGTTGTTAATAAGTTGTGGATTTTCTTATAAAATTTTCTGGTGTTTGGAATTATTTGTATTACCTGTAATTGTCCATTATAAACCCAGTAGCTGTTCATCATTATGTTTAATAATGGAAAGCTACGGCTTAATAATGGACAGCTACAGGTACTTCATTGTACGTTCTACTATATAATGTACAATGAGAATAAAGGATAATGTCATAACACACCCGATGCTACACGGTGTCCCACTTTTTAGGGGGGAAGATTGTTGTTCGAACGATTATAGTCTGTTTCTGAGTAGTATTGTCAGTATTTACCTGTGTTTACCTGTTTTTAAAAAGAAAATACCTGTGGTTAACCCTTCTATCTAAGGTGGTGCTCTATCTAAGCTGGAAGCTGATCATATTTAATTTAATGATATATCATACATGTATAAGATTTTCAGATTTTTAATAACAAATCTTAAATTAAAAATATTTTTATTTTAATTATACATGATGTATATTCAATATTAAATATATTTATTCAATATTATAGAAAAAATAAGATTAACGACCGACTAAAAAACTAGCTGTTTTCACCGAAGTCCTTGCACATGTGCTGCTGCATGATATGATAAGATGAATTGTTTTAATTTATTTTGTAATAAGTTTGTACTTTAAATATATTATTAAAGTATTGATATAAACACATTTTAGACATTAAAATACAATATGCACTACCTGCATTCCAAATGAAGATATTCAACTAACAATAAATTACCAGCTTTGTTTAGAAACTTATTTATTTGAAATTAGAGGAAAGACTATTTCTCATGCTTAATACAAGAAAAAATACCAAAACAATCCAGAAAGTTTATCTCAGAAATAGAATTAAAGAAATAGAAGCTCAAGAAAACGTAGACTTAAAAGAACTAAACGAAAACAAAACGAATTCGCAGGAATAAGGACACTTCAACTAAAAGGAAGTATTTTGAGACCTAACGCTAAATGGGTAGAAGGAGGAGAAAAACCTTCTAAATAGTTCTTAAATCTTGAAAATAGAAATTTTGTTACAAAATGTATAACAGTAATAGAAAAGGCAACTGGAGAACTAATGATCTTCATGAGGTAAATTTAAATCAGTTTTTAAATGGTAATAGTGTTCCAAGATTGAGTCGCCAGGAATCTTCTTTACATATAATACTGATTGTTTTCGTTTTGAAATGTAATGTTAAAGTAAATGTAGATTTGAGTATTTTGTATTGGAAATTTAAGTATATATTTTATCTTGTCTTGTATTTGGTGGCTTAAAAAGTGTAATGTAAATGAAAGGTAATGTAATGTATAAGTATAATAATATTTCACTGTAAACGCATACTATTTAGTGTTGGTTTTATCTGTATTGTACATCATGGATGTAATGATTGTAAATTGTATCATGCATTTATGAGTTTTTACCTAACAACCTAAAATTTGACAATTTAGTGTTTATTTCCTGTTATAGTTTACCAATGTCACACCCCCAACAATTTATCAAAGCTCATACTAAGTTTTGATTAATAACATTAAATAGATATATATATTGAATATACATACACAGAAAGGCTACAAGTCACACAGGTAACTTTCACAAAGGTAAGTTACCTGTGGGGTAAGTATGAAACAGACTATATTTGGTTTGCCATTGTCTTCCTATATCAACACTTTTCTTTGTTCTCTAAAAAGTAGGGGAACTGAGAGCACCCTGGGTAGGAATGGAACAGACTGTAATTGCTTTGCCATTGTCTTCCTATATAAACATTTTCTTTGCTGCTAAAATGTGGGGGAACTGAGACCCCCCCGCCCNTTTGGTAAGGATGACAGTCACTGGATCGAGTGGTGTATGCACCCTCAGGACACGGTTGTTAATTCCTTTTTGCTTATTTCATCTGTATCCTTTTTGTTCATAAAAGATTCGGAAGGTATGATGTTCTTTTCAGAAATGAGTCTTCAATGTTATCGCCATACAAGAAAAAGGTTTTCAATACGAAGTGACAGTTTTAGAAATGGTACAGGGATCCTTATACATGTAACGATAGTTCGTTGCAAATTTGGCCCAATGTAAACTATTCGGGCTGACGGCTTTGGCTACTTGAAGTTTCTTTTTTTTTATTTTCTCTTCATTCTTAAACATTTTACTATAATATACTCGCCACATGTAATACGTATTATTCTAACAAAGACTTGTTTAATTTATCTTAGAACTGTTAGATATCATTCATCCCATCCCACAGGTATAAGATCAGGGTTTTTTACTGAAGCTTGTCCACTATATTAAAAAAAACGTCCAATTCATATAAACTATAATTGTTCATCCCACATTGAATACATTTGATACTCTAAACCATAGGGAAACCCTTGTAACGAATGCGGTTAGAAATTATTCCTTGATCTGTGTGCGTACAGCTATAGATCGAATATTGAATATCAAATTTTCCAGACATTGCACGGGCATGCACACAGCGTACAATCTGAATTAAGTGAATTCCTATAAATGCCACAGTATTTCCTTATATAGCAGCGACGAATCCAGATCAGGAAACTGTCTTGCCTGGGATTTTCTTTAAAATCATAATAACAACAGATCGGTCCCTGAATCCGCCACCGTCTTTGTAGTGTATATGTATATAAACAACTTTACCTGATGTAAATATATCATTATTACCTGATACACAATACCGTACCTTGTATTTATCTTATGAGGCATTCATATAGCTGTACAGTGTTTACATGGCGATTACCTCGATAATGTCTATGTACAATTGTGTCAAATCTACATTACAACATTATACACATAGGGTATAGATAGTTCACACTTTCAACTCTTTTACTGACCCATTACCTCACAAAATCAACTTTGAGTCCTTTAAACAGCGATTCATCGTCGGGCGGAAGATTTTTATTCCTACTTTACAGGGATTCGTCGGTAAATTGGTTAACATTTGTGTGCTAAAAAAGTATAACTGCCTGGGTTGATTGACGTTTCACAATACAGACAAAGTTTCTGTGAATTTAATTTTAACCAATATTACGAGATATATTTTCAATTAAAATTTAACTACCGCGACTGTGATCATGGCGGAAGGGTGGCGTGAAAGTTTGGACAATATCAACAAGAATTGTATCAGTAGACTTCAGGAGTATGCTGCTAAAAGGGGATTGGATGTCCGATATGAAAAAACTTTTCCAAATAAAGCGGGGTAAGTATTATTTATTGTGTTTTGAACGTGTGCTAGCATAGATAATATCTTTTTTGATGGACACAATACATATAAGTGATAATGACAGAGAAATCCGGCAAAAAAGGGGAAGATATGTAGTATAAAACCGGTCGCAACAAAACTTTTTGGTTTTTTTGTTTGGGACATTTCGCAAAAGACAAAAAGTTTACAAGTCAAATTATGTCAGGGCAATTGCTCGGACGTCACATTTTAAAATGTAGCTTTGCTATTTTGTCATCAACATTAACCTTATCTCACCTGAAGACGTCACATTCCATTTTGAGTAGTGGCCCGGTCCTTAATATGCACTTTATTCGTTTTAATGTTGAAATTAACCAGCACTACTCCGATGAGTTCTGGAGGAACGGCGAAACAGCTGTATGATACAGTGTTATTCATGTTTGACATGCTGTATCTATTCCCAAATTAAGTGCAGTTCCTTGTGTGTGTTTTGGGTTCATCTTTCGAGATACAAGGTGGTATACTCTGCTGGTGGTTTTGTTTTTATTCCAAAGGTTTGCCGTTACCTTGATGGGCAGTGTTATCTTTTTTGAGTAGTGGAATTGTTCTTAATAAACACACTTTACTCGTTTCAAATTTGAAATTAACCAGAACTCCTGTATTTATTGAAATTCACATATTAAAGGGGTTTTCCACATCTCCTCTTCTGCTTCAACAGTAATTTAGACCGACTCGGTTCCTAGAATTCCCGAGGAGCCCAACAAGGACAAATAAGCGTATGGTGCAGTACAATTCCTTTTTACAATGCTATTGCGATTCCAAAATGTTAAATGTGCAGTCCCATGTGTGTCTCTAAGGTTTATCTTTCTGTGTTGTTACTGCAGTAAAAAAATATTTGAAGCCTCATAATAATTTTCACTCCTTCGTAGAAAGTAAAATCCATGTAAAGAGGATTTCGTATGAGGAATGATGAATGCTTATGTTTTATATACATTCGAGAGTGATAATTACTCAGGTTTGACAGAAAATGTTCAGTGAGTAAGGAACACTTGGAAATACACGTATAGGAAAGGATGTTAACTGAACTAGATAATCACGTTTCTGATATTATGTTTCTCAATCATCCAACACGTAACTACGGAACATTACAAATTACGCCCGGTGAGTTTATTTAACAACGTTTTCGTTTGGTTTGTCAATACCCTTCTGTATAAGAGCATCTCTGAAACTGTCTTGGCAGCGTATGCACACATAGTCTGAGCGCTACTGCGGCGATCGTGTGATTAAAGCGTCTGGAAAAAAGTTTTTAAAAAAAGCCCATTAATTACTTAAAATTAGAAACAGATAAAGCAGATATCATACATATTCATTTTAATTCGTTTGATTTAAATAAAATTAGGCCTAGTTTATCTAACAACCATTCGTGTAAAGGTGAACTGTTAGTTGAATTGTCACGCGATGTTTACATTTTTGATCAGCTGGGATACACATGCACATGGTTAGATTAGTCATAGTTACGTATAGCAGCACGATAGAAGACCTGAGTGTTCCAAGGGTTGGGGGGTCCCTACCGGCGAGGTCTGTTCAGGTCCTATCTTGCGATATGTTATTTATTTTAGTTAATCATTACACACTAGGCCACATGCATCGTGTTCTTGTTGATATAACAGTATACGGTATCGAGTAGATGGTTAGTCATATTGTCCTGGTTTGTGTACATGTAGGCCTAAGCGTGTTGGGTTGGGGAGATCGATCATCCTATACCAGATGTATTTGTTCACACTCGACATCGTATTTGTAAAATAATAATAAATACAAATATTTGTAAAAATAATAATGTTTACTTTTACCTATAACACAGGTACGCGTGTATACATATACACATGGCTAGTCTATATATGGCAGAATGGCCTGAGTGTTTCAAGGGTTAGGGGGCCCCATACCGGCGAGGTCTGCTCAGGGCACATGCCTGTAAACAAGCATAGGCCCCTGTAAGTAGTTTATTATGATCTTATTGTTTCAAATAACTTTGCCTGTTAAAGTGATCTTGTTCATACTTAGACTATGAACGATTGTATTGTCTCCGGTATGTATTTTGTCACATTGATTCACCTATGTCCATTCATTTATTTATTTTTTGTTGTAAAAATAATATTTTTTACATTTACATACAATACGTGTACGTATACTCATACACTTGGTTAGTCTATATAGCAGCTTGACCTGAGTTGTCCAAGGGTTGGGGACTCTCTACCGACGAGGTCTGCTCAGGTCATATGTTGTATCCTGTATATTATGTTAAGAAAATAGTTTATTATGATCTAATTTGTTTCAAATAATTTGGCTTTTCCATGTAATCATGTTCAAGAATATCTTTGAATGTTATGCATTGATTTTTTTGGTATTTGTTGACATCTACTGTCATTTGTAGATATTGTTTGAACATATTTGTTACATTTACTTGTTTTGTTTTTGCCTCACTGATATAATAATTTTTGTAAATTACAAAGCCATTGATTGTTAAAAGGTGATTTATTTCATTATGTTTTGGGTATTCTATTTTATATTCAATTGCTAATTTTTTTAGGGTCAACATATCTTTTTTATCCTAGTTTTTCAAATATATTTCTGATTGTCTTGTGAAAATTTTATAAATATTTGCGTTTTATGAAAAAATGTTCATAATCTTCTATATTGTTGCAGACATTGCAGTTTTGTGTATCACTTATTTTCCATTGATGCATAATTTGCTTTGATGTAAGGATTTTGTTTTTTTATTGTTTTTTAGGCAGTGAAAGACAAAATCATTTGCATATTTCAATTGGCCATCTGTTTTATTGAACTTGTTCTCCCAGTATATTCTTGCGATTGGTGTTTCAGGACGCATTTTGACTAAGTGTTTGTAGATTGTTTGATTATTACAGTTTTTAATGGTTACTGTTCCTAGTTTTGGGATTGTGATACATATTGTGAACTTTAAAGTTATGCATGTTAACATTGCTTTCTTTAATTGTTGTTAGCCAAGTTTTTGGTATTGCTTTTTTTACTATGGATAGTTCTGGTAGCCAATTAGTTTTAATTGTTAATTTTTCATATATTGCTTAATCATTTATTTCTACATTGTGTTGTAATTGATCCTTGATAGTTACAATGTCTGATTCTATCCATTTTTTTAAACATATGGTTTTACCTTTCATCTTTATATGTCTATACCCCCATATAATTTGAGCTAACATGGTGTTATAGTGTTTTGGTTCTTGGTTTTGTTCTCGCAGTTTGATCCATGTTGCTATGATTTCATAATTTAAAGGGGATAGCTTTTTCACGTTTTGGGAGTTTTTTAAGTTATCTAGATTCTTTTAACATATAAGAATATTTTTGCCGAAAGTGTTTAGTTGTAGCATTGGGACAATTTTCCATAATGCTGCTTCCTCTGATTACAGTTTTTTCAGCCAGCTTATTCTTAATGTATCAATATGTCTTCTTTGCATCATTTGGGTCTATTTTGTTGTTGTATACAGTTTTTCATAGAATTGTTTTAGTCTTTTTAGGATGTTATCTTTTTTCGTGAGGATATTCCCATCCTAATTTTTTTATTTTTGTTATTGATTTTTGGGATTGCCTCTTTTATTCTAATGTCACGAAATATTTTGAATTGTTTCGCCCTCTTCAATCCATTTTACTCTTGAGCGTATTTGTGCACCGTATGCTTTATTATTATATAGTCTTTCTAATTTGGATTCTAGTTCGTGAATTTTGTCACTGTTTTCAGTATATGATTGTTCATGTAGATCTCTAATATCGTTTTCTATGTTTGTTATTTCATTTTTTGCACCTTTAGCTAAATTTTTGCTGAATGCAATAGAATCTTCTTTTATCTGTATTTCATATTTCAAGTTATCTTTTATTAATATTGAAACCCCTCTGCTCTGGCTTGATCCAAAATTATGTATTATATTTCCACGCCATTCAGTATTTATGTATGGTGCTTCTTTTTCTGTTTAGTGCGTCTCTTGTATGTATATTATGTTCGCCTTTTGTTGTTTGACCCATTGGTCGAATCTGTTTCTTTTTTGTTTGTCAAGAAGTCCCTGTGTATTCAGGGTTATGCAATGTATTTTATCAGTCATTTGGAGTTGTTAAGGATTTGGTATTTTGACATATTTGTATATATACTGTGTATATATTTTCTACTTTTGGACATTTTTTAATAATGTATTTGTTAAAAGTACCAGTCTTTATGTCTATATAGGTATGGTTTGTAAATTTTAGAGTGTTACTTAATATAACCTCCTTATATTTTGTCTTAGATATGTAATATGGTTTGATATTGTTTTTAAATAAAATATATTAACATACTTGGCTATATATTTCTTCATCATGATTATTCCACCATTTCGTTTTAATGTAGCTTAGCAAGTATTTCTTACAATTACTCTGCTTCACATACATGGCGTTAACATACCCATCACTGATTAACATCAGTATGATAAGTATTATTAAGGTAACCTGACTATAAAGTATGTCCGTTAATCTTATTAATAGTCCATAAACAGATATATGCAAGTAAAGTATCAGTGTTGAGCAAGTCTGTGATGCCCTACATGCATATCATTATTTTGAAGGAGGTTGTTGTTAATCATGATTGGTCCTTCTTTTTTGCCTTTGCTCCAGATTCTAATTCCTCAGCTGGTGTTGGAGGAGACCGCAGATCTGGAGTCATTGTACTTGACTTTCTGGATGGAGTACTCGTACCAGTACCAGTAGATTTTATGAAGGAGACTAGAGTGCATCTTTGCTTTGTTGAGTGCTTGTCTTTTATTTGCCTACTCTTACTTTGTTTCATGTTTAAATTTTCAGTGTTTTGGGTTTCAGATGGTTGGGTGGGAGGCAATTGTGCTTTTTCATTTTTTGAGTTTGGTTGACTCTGCTTTGTGTCAACGACATTCTGTTCCGTTTCTGCTTCGTAGCAGTGTCTTCTTCAGACCCCTCAGATTCATCATCTCCGTTGCTACTGGAGTTTTCTTCCTCTACCTCTTCCTCTTCTGTACAATCGGCTGCTTTATTAATTACTTATACGATCTTTTAACGCCAATTTTATAAAGATATATATACGTTAACTAACCTACTGCTATTCATGTTATAAAATGATCTCTCTACTTCTTTAAATATTTGAACAATTTCTTTTCAATTTTAGATTTGGTTATGACGTATACTTTGTCAAGTTTATTGCAACCGGAACCGGGTGTAGAAAACAAGAAGCAAAGGAGGCGACAGCGGACCGTGCTCTCCGGACTATATATGGAGATAGTGGAAATAACCAGGTTAAAATATTATTTTGAAGTGATTATGGTGTCTAATTAATGTTTGTATCGGTATATATCTGAAAATTTGATTTTATGTCTAACAAAACAATTTTAAAATTAAATAAAAAGATCTCAAAAATTATATTAATATCACAAAAAAGACATTGAAATCAATCTCGCACAACCATCATCTAAATTAAGCTCATTGAACAAATGCCCACGTTAACCTTACAAAATAATAAAACAGATTATAACTTTACAGCGTGTGTGTAACCGCTACATGTACTTGATTACTTCCCAAGAAACTACTTGCTTTAAATAAGGTGCCGACGTTGGGATATTCGTAAATACTCATAGAGACGACGTGAGTGTATTCTACTACAGTTAATCAGAAACACTGATATCAAAAATTAGTATGCAGATACATCTTTATATCTAATACATGCATAAAAACTAAGATTTTTTTTGAAATATTTTGCTTGAGCAATGGTCATGCAACTGCTTTATATACGCCCATCAAATTTGACGGGAGTATTATGGTATGGCGTTGTCCGTCCATCCGTCCGGCTAAAACTTTTGTTTGTCCGGCACTCTCCTCCTACATTTTTCGACCGATCTCTTTGAAACTTGGTATACATTATAATCATGATATGAAGTTGTGTCTCCCTTAAAAGAATTTGGATTCGACGATTTTTGCAAAAGGTATTGCCCTTTGTTCATTTCAGTATTTGATTTTTTTATCCGGATATTTTCTCCTACATTTTTATAGCATGTCAGCTAACCACTCTTTGAATGATGCAGATCTTATTTCAATGTAAGAACGTATGTAACACGATATGGCATTCGACGGGCGTATATTGTTCCGCCCCGCGGAACTCTTGTTAGTAAATCAGCTGTGACAGATATGCAAAAAAAAATAGTTCAACAAGTGTAAGAACATGTATATTTTTTATAAAAGAATAACTTGATAATATTTTTTCCAGCCAACTTGGCAGGTGTTGACGAGCTACGTAAACCCAGACCCAAAGGACTCGTATGATGATTATGATGTAAAAACAAATTTACAAAATGCAACTGATAAGGTCTCAACTGCTCTAACTAAAATCGTTCGCGTAAATCCATTCGAAGATCCTACTGCGTCATCAATATCTGCCTGTGAAATATCTTCGAACGGTCAAAGCAATGCCATTTCTACGGTTTTGGAAGGGACAAATCCCATTAGTACATTCATGGAATATGCACAAGCTATTGGAGAAGTAGGAAGAATTGAGGAAGAAACCAAATGTGGTCCATCTCACCGCCCAACGTAAGTACAGGTTATATTGTTGAAAACCCTATTCAGTCTTTTTAAAAACGTAAAATATGCTTGAATGTAACGATAAACCATATTAATTTGATTAAATGAGGTTGAAAATAATTTCGATCAAATCTTTTTAAATCTTTTCTTGTTACAACTTTCAAATGAGGTTCGTTTTTATGATTACATAAGAAACGAAATAAGTTGCCTTTTGCGCAGAGTTACACATGTAAAGTTATTTTATTTAACTTTTAATCTGCTTTTAATATCACGGTATTGTTTTCATAGTTTGGTTCTGTCTTGTTGATGTTTAAGCTCTATTTATTGCTGCCAACACGTAAGTCAAATCACATGTTTGAGCATCTTTTATACGTCATTGCGAGTGTTTTATATGGTACAGAAAACGCCCACATTCACCAATGTAGATGTATAGATGCTTTGATATCTGTCGTGTTATTTTAGTTAGTGCCTCCTCGGCTCACGCTATTTTTTGTTCTGTTTTTGGGCTACGATAATGTGCACGTGTCTTGAAGCTTTTGTTATTCTTACTTACACTTTCAAAGCAAAACACTTTGTTTATATTTAGATTTACAGTTTGTGCCTACATCGGGACAAAGAAGTTAGCAAAAGGGACGGGTGGCAACAAAAAGCTGGCCAAGAGACAGGCAGCAGAAGAATCGCTCAAGATGTTGTCGTTCAGTTCCTCAAGAGCTTTGATATCCCCGATGGTTTCGGTAAGAATCAAGTGTTGCATCACAAAGAAATATCGAAATATGGAAAAGTGAAATTATTATTATCTTGTGAGTACCTTAAACAGGCATACCAATTCATATTTTTTACACAACTTTGAAAACGTTCAATACATATTGTGACAATTCCACACAAAAAAACTATAGCCCGAGTTTCCTCTGGCCCTGAGACCAGACTTAGATATTGCAACAGATAGATTTCCCACTCTATCAAAATGATAGTCTGAAAGTCTGGTGTAAGGGCCAGGGGAAACACGGGCTACAATCAAATATTGTTATATATTTATACAAGTTGCATCGCTTGGGCCTAAAGAAGATTTTTTAAAAATACTTCTGTGATTACATTCCCAAAATGGATTATCTTTTTCATTGGTATAAGCCAACACCTTCACGACCTGTGATCGATAAGAATGCTGGAATTTGTCCTGTTGGTGCCGACCCGATCAGTGTTCTTAATGACTTTGCGCAGAAAAGGGGTTTAGAGCTGACATTTCCGAATCCTGAGGTCACTGGAGCGGATCACCAAAGAGAGTAAGTTACATTTGTATTTTTTTTTAATAAGTGCATGGTACATGTATATCAGATGAAGTAAATTTGTTTCACATATGCAAACAAAAAATGTACCTGCACAGAATTAAAGGAATACCATTACAAAGCATTGGGAGAAATATTGATCAAAAGACAAGCTCCTTTAATATAACGTTATAATATTGAATATTGATAAAATCTTTATATATGATCACTGAATCAATCAAATCGATAAATTGCATTTAGAATAAGATTATTTTCTTAAATTAAATAATATAAAAGACGTTTTATAATTAAATGACATCCGTAGGACCTGTATAATTGGTACATGATAAGATTTCTCAGGATGATATTCCATAGGTTTACACTAAGTGCCATGGTGGGAAGTACGATCTATCCCAGAGCTACAGCCAGCACAATACAAGAGGCAAAGCGGGAGGCATCCAGGAACGCATTAAGGCATCTAAAGCAGAACAAGCATTACCAATTTACGTCCGGGCTACATGTATCTAAGGTAAAGGATAACAACTCAAAATTGTATTTTTGAAACTAATGTGTTGTAAATGCTATTTTTTTTAATATAATTGATAATAATTTTGATCTTGTCATAGAGCTTTACCGACCCATCGATGTTGTGAAATCATATCCGAGAAATGTATTCATTATCATTCATGAAAATGAGTCATTACACATTTCTGGACAAATTATATAAGAACAGAAATGGTTCAATATTGAATAGTACTGGATGTCTTTGTTGAAAATTGAAGTTTAAATATTTTGAAAATTTTAACTTTTGTTTGCAGTTATCTATAATCGAGTCATTGACGTTCCATGATAAAATGGCTAAGCTTTGTCACGAGAAGTTTGACAGTGTGGTAGCAGACATATTCGCGAACCTTGCTGGTGGTAAAGTGGTAGCAGGCATCGTCATGGAAAACAAAACTACAAAGACGTTTGAAGTCATAAGTTTAGCTTCTGGTATGATACCTTATTAGTATTTTGCAATTATAGTAGATTTGAATCCACAAAAATTCTTAAAAGAATCACAGCAATTATTCTCTCAAGTGTGTACCTAAAGAAAACAGTATATGGTCAGCGTGTTTTGATTTACTGTTTATTTGAATCTTGGGATATGTCTGCTCCGTATTTCATTGGAACCCAATAAAATAAGAGAAAACTGTTTCACAGTAATTAAATTTGAATAAATAAGACAAAATGATAATACATCTTTGTCTTCAACATTCATATCGTATCAAAAAGTAAGGAGTACCATTCGAGACAATATCTAAGTTATGACATATAGTATTGAAAATTGTTATTTCTTGTAAATATCAACTGTTGCGTATAAACCAAATATTATCTGTTATATTATATATAACAAATGAAGTAATATTTTATTTGAATGTGATAAACAATCATATCAAACGTTATAGATGAATAACTACTAATTGGTTTTTTTTCATACGAACTGAAGGAAACCGCTTTATTAAAGGAAGTGAACTGACAACAGATGGACAAGTGTTGATAGACTCGCATGCTGAGATTCTAGTTAACCGGGGAATGCGAAGGTGGGTGTCAATTTAGCCCGAAACGTTTGTAATGAAATAGATGTGATCAAGGATTGCTACTCACCTTCAAGACTCACTGTCGCTCTCTAACGTAACCCCATTGAGTGTAGAGGATGTTTACCTTTTTCAGGTGAAAAAATAACGTTTAAATGTATTATTGGTCAATAAAAGTGTATACTATTAGTAGTAAAAATAACTACAAACTCATTCGATAGATACATGTGTTCGGTATAGTCCAGACTTACGGGTTGGTTGTAGAGTTCCGTTAACATTTAGTTTACTTCTAGCAATTAACCAATCTGAATAAATACAGCTGTTCATTATTACGTACCGCATGTTAATACATGTAGCCGTAGGTATTTTTTTTATTAACATCTGATTTTAATGAGATTGGCAGTTAACAGATGTGCATAAAATCATTTAAACTTAATGGGGGTTTTCACGTCCGATCAATATAACAGATGTAATCTATTGGCAGGTTTCTTTTCTACCACTTAAAGAAGCTATGTAGGGGAGACGAGACTAATGTGCTACTCCAGAGATGTGGGGAGGGGAAGGCTGAGTTCGCTCCGGATATCCAGTTTCATCTCTATATATCCACCGCACCATGTGGAGATGGAGCTATATTTACGCACAGGTAATCACGTTTAATACCAGAATGACAGTGATAATATGGAGTGAAATATACTTTTTTGTTTTCTTTATTTGTTGTTTTAGTATTTTATTTAAAAATCATTGATACAATTATATTAATTTTAAATAATAGAAATTGGATACGTTTCTAGTTGAATGGTTTGTTATGGTTTTATAGGGCTTAACGTTCTATTAACAACTGATCATTTAAGGACGTGCTTCTATGTATGTAATACCTGCGTGTGTATGTTGGTGTGCTTGCTTCCTTGCGATAGCGTCGATCTGACCCCGACTTTGTAGTGCTACTTAATTAAATACCGAAGGTACCAAGAATAGTATTGGTTTCGCAGGAAATAACAACTACCATTTTAAGCACTTTGGTACATGTATACACCGGCCTGGGGCCAGAACCGCTTTCCTTCCTCACTTGAGGCAAACGCTCAGAGCTAAGACCAAAAGTGGGGTATTGCCACGCAATGCGCTTGATTACAAAGGAGTTGCTAGGTATATTTGCATTGTGTACAAGTGTCCCGAAGTAGGGGACACGACATAAAGTCTTAATTCTACAGCTTGTTCACACGTTAGTTGCTTGTTACAACATGTAGTGGGTAACAGCAGGTATAGTCTTTTCGCAATCCCACACTGCAGCGATGCTCCTAGCTGAGGTAAAGTTTGTACCAATTTAGGATATATCATATACTTGTATACTTTAGATAGTTTATGATATTGCTTGCTGTGAAGTAAGTCAGTTTTATTTGGTCGAAGCACCTATGAATAGTTTCTACAGTCGTCTTAATTCTAAGAATACCTAACTTATTATTTTATATTCAAATCAGTAATTTGATTTCCATTTATGTTTTATATTGTTTTACCATTTATATAAATATAGTGCTGGCACTTCAGAAACAGAACAGGTTGAACAGCATCATCCAACATTTGACGATGCAAAACAAGGACTGCTGAGGACTAAAGTGGAGCAAGGTATCGAGTGAGAGAAGAGCCAGCAAACGCGTGCCTGTTCCATTGACATTTGCAAGAATATACGCAAATCTCTTGTATAATGTTTTGTAAACAAGTAGATACAATTATATAATATAGTTGCGACATATTGCCCTTCATTGCTATGTTTATAAAAAAAACGGCAACATGACTCATATATCATCAATATGCAGATTAATCGTAGAAGCTGAATACATGTTTTGTTACGATTTGTCTCCTATCGTTGGGATATTTACTCATGTTGTACAGGTGAGGGACAGATCCCGTCTAAAGAAGTGCACGAGAGTTATAAAGGCCTGGATACAATTAGACGTGGAGAACGGTTGCGCGTGATGTCATGCAGTGATAAAATATGCAAATGGAATCTTCTTGGAATGCAAGGGGCTCTTCTGGCCAACTTGATAAAGCCGGTGTACTTTACTTCCATAACGTTAGGTAGAAATGAAAAAGATTTTATTCTTTTATCTTAAATCATCATTCCTTTAACATGGCATACAAGATTCAGTTCTATGAAATCCCCAAGAAACTATTAAAATGTATATATGTACACTGACATTAAATTCAATTACAGTGCACAAAATGTGGAAGCTTCTAATAAAATTTCTGTCAATATTTACACTAACTGACACATCTAACACTTGAATACGCGACAGATGTGTTAATAGAAGGTTTTTTTAAATGGTTGTTATTCTTAGTACAAAGTTCAAAATCGTTAATTCATTATGCGAACATTGCAGGAACCCTCTACAACCACGGACACATGGCTCGAGCAATGTGCTGTAGACTAGAAAAACACTGCCAAATTGCTTACTTACCAGATGGTTATAAGGTTAACCATCCATTACTTGGTGCCGTTTCTCGCAAGGAGATTCCTCAACGAAGCGTCGAGAAATCCACGGCACTTTGCATCAACTGGAATGTTTCGGACGATCATCCTGAAATGACAGACGGAACAACTGGCTTCACACACAGCAGTGGTTGTGGCAGAGCTATGTAAGCATTGACATTAATTTTTCATAGTAAATTAGTTCTCAAACATGAGATTTCCTTTGAATGAAATTATTTGAAATTGTCCTGTCATCAAAAGCAGCGTCCGAAATTGTCGTCAAATGTAGCAAACTATATCTACAAATAAAGGAATATTGTTAAAAAAAGGTTATATTGCTTTCTATAATTTTCACAACTTCGATCTAAACTCCTTCTGAATAAGCCGTTTATTGTTAGAATTTCTTACTAGGGATTTTGGAAAATAATTATGATATATGTATGCCATACAACATCTGAAAGATGTCCCTATAGTTGGACTCATTTGGATGACAATGGCGCGCGATCCAAATATAAATTCCACAGAAGAACGTGGAATGTTGTAAAATTATCATATTCTCTGTATACGACAGACCTAGCAAACCAGTAGTTAACCATTGGTTTTTTTCAATATAAGACCCTGTCCAACTGCCAAAGGAAATATTGGAAAACCCATTTATACATAGTATATGCTAATGTATCACCACACTGTTTTTGAGTTACAGGGTTAAGTCAAGATTGTGTAAACTGGAGTTGTTGCGGTCCTACAAAGATATCTGTACGAATGCAGGCTTATTGCACCTGGTCAAAGACGATTATCTGTTGACCAAAAATGCATCTAAACAATACCAGCGCTGCAAGAAAACTCTATATGCAATTTTCAATAGTCAAGCATATGGCGCATGGATAGGGCTGCCGAGAGAATGCCAGGGGTTTTCAACCTCTACCTCACCTACTGCCCCTCCTTTACAGTGGCCTCAACGAAATCGAAACACCATGACAGCACAAACAATACTTCATAGTCTGTTCAAGTTTAAGTGACATACACATCAATTCAAGATAATGAGTTGAAAACACGTTGTCATTGTTATTGTTATTTAGAAAGACATAGATTATTTATAAAGGCTTGTTGTTGGATTAATTAAAGATTTCCTCGGACAACTCGAATAGAGAATATAAAGAGTCTAACAATAGCTTGTGAAATTGTATTGAGATGCATAAGTAATTAAAAAAATGCCAAAGTATCAACGATTCCTCTCATAACAAACAAATCGAGAATCACTTATAGCTTATAGTTCTGACAGGACTTAATAAATTAACATATATATCGCTTGCTCGTATTCTGTATCTTGACATCTTGCTACTTGCCTACAATGTGACAAGAAAGCTTACATTTTACAATCGATAACTTTTCTGTTATCAGTAGTAATACCCTGCCTCCTCTGGTTACAGAGTTAACTTCTCATTGTTGACTCGCTATTTCAGAGCCTGTTCTAACTGCCAGCGGTACGTAGTTAGGTCCAATCTGTATGTCCACCTTTTGACCTATTCCGTCTTTGCGTATTGCAGAGTTATCTTCTCTTGAGAGCAGGTGTTGGTTGTTACGTCATTTGTTTACGAGAGTAACGTCATCAATTTTTGAGAAAACGACGTAATTTTCTCACACAAACCAATGACGTAACAATCAATACCTGCTCTCAAGAGAGATAACTCTGCAATACGCAAAGACGGATCACGGATGAGTCATAACAGGAGGAAACAGCTGTATGGTTCATCATTGGCATACTGTAGAAATCACTAAATTGTATAGCTACATCTACCAGGGTTTTGTTTTAAATGTATTTGGCCGGTTGACAAGAAAACCAAATATCCAGCGTAATCCATCGGAGATGCTTCCATCTACTTAGAGGAAAAACTACAGTCGTCATAAATTCTACAATGACAATTCAGTGCTTACCATGACTAAAGACCTGTTAAGGATGTACTCTTCTGAGGTTTCAATCACGTTCAAGTCTCGTTTTGATCTGGTGTAATGGGTTTTTGTAATATTTAACAACTTATTATCAAGTTTATTAGCAATTACGCGTCTGAAAAATATTTCAAAAAACTAGATGCCTGTTGTTTGTAGAACTTTTTTTACAAGAATTTAAAAAAAATACCAATTCGGCGGCCATTTTGAAAATGGGTATTCATGTGTATTTCTTGTGCTTCAAAATTTCACCTTCTTTTGCACTAGATTGATCACTTAAATTGTCATTGTGTCGCAACTTTTAATTGTAGCAGGTTCATTTTTTGCTGTACAACTTTATAATGTTCAATATGATAAAAATAATATGCAACAAACTGGAAAATTATACATTATTGATATTTTTTTACGTATTTAGTGTAACTGAAGCACTTTTGATTTTTGACCCCGAAAAAAATAAAAAATAACACAAATGATAATGGGACAAAAAAAGAAGCACACTGACCACCCATTTTTGTAGATGTTTTAGAAAGAGAAATACGTTTTCATTTAATTCATTAAATATTAAAAAAAGTTAAATACCAGAACTTTTTATATCAAGCGTTTAATCTGTAAAAAAATGGTAAAAAAATAGTATTTTTTCATTAAAAAATAGGGGGTAGGGGTAACTAAAATCGACTTTTTGAGTTAAAACAATAAGATTAAGAAATGTAACTTCCATAATTTAGAAGAAAATAATATTTTCAACAATTCTACAAACATTTATACATATCTGATAACACACTTGGAAGAAAGTGTATGAATTTGTTCTGCAAGTGGTCAAAACCCCAAAAAAACTAAAATCACATGTTGTGGTTAATTGGTATCTTTGACCGATCATAGCACAAAAACGAGCACACGGACATATGTTTTTTTTTTGCATTTTCTACTATGCCATTTACTCCTTTTTCCAAAAATCCATATCAGAAAAAAAGTTTAATACAGGAATTTTTTGACTTCTCAGAGGTGTACATCCTTAAGTGTATCTTAGATGGTTTGGTTAACTTCATAGCTTTTTGGATTAAACGGGAGACACTTTGCCCTGTGCATCTACACATTCATTGGCTGGAGAAGTTGGAAGGTATAATAATATACCTAGAGAACGTAGATATTGTAAACAGTGTAACTCCCCCTCTGAAGTAGAGGACGAATATCATTTTTAGTCTGTTCTAAATTCCAAAAAATCAGATCACGTTTTATCAAAAGCTATTATTGGAAAAAAACATCTGTGTTTAAAGCCGTTCAGTTATTGAGTGTCCATAATATTAAAGAATTGTGTATACTGGGAAAATTCATCTATGAGGCAAACAAATTAAGGGTATTATAATGGAATATGATTGCCTTCATTCTCTGTACATTGTCCATGATGTGTGTATAATATGTATTGTATACTGATGGGCCAATAGCCTAAAGTTCGAATAAAACTTGAAACTTGACCTGTGTGATCTTTACCCCTAGTTATGCCTCCAGTTGATGACCCTTTTTTTAAATATACATGTTTTACATGTCTTCCATTTATAAATATTCAATTCCCTTTGCCCAAAGATTCTCTAGAACAAGTTTGGTTAAAATCCCTTCAACGGTAAAGAAGGAGAAGGATCTTTAATGTTCTCCTCTATTTCCCCTAATGGGCCCCACTCATCTGCCCCAAAGGGGGTCCGCACACCTCAATTTAAAAAAAAATGATTCTTTTGTCCCTAAGCATGCTTCAGACTGCATTTGGTTTAAATCCCTTCACTTGTATAATAGGAGAAAAAAAATCCTCTGTTTCCCCTATTGGGCCCCGCCCCTTAGCCCCCAGAGGGGCCACACCCTCCGTTTGTACAAACTTGAGTCTCTTTTGTCCAAAGATGCTCTAATACAAATTTGGTCAAAATCCTTCTATTGGTTGAGAAGAAGATTTTTAAAGATTTACCTATTTGGCCCCTCCCCTCTGCCCCCAGAGGGACCATACCCTCCGTTTATACAAAACTGAGAACCCTTTGGCGTATGATGCTCCAGACCAAATTTGGTCAAAATCCCTTCATCGGTGCAAAAGGAGAAGGATCTTTGATGTTTTCCTCTATTTCCCATAATGGGCCCCACCCATCTGCCCCAAAGAAGGGGGCCCACACTCCTCAGTTTATACAAAATTGATTCTTTTGTCCCTAATCATGCTTCAGACTGCATCTGGTTTAAATCCCTTCACTTGTATAGTAGGAGAAAAAAATCCTCTATTTCCCCTATTGGGCCCCGCCCCTCTGCCCCCAGGAGGACCATACCCTCCGTTTATACAAAACTGAGAACTGTTTGGCCAATGATGCTCCAGACCAAATTTGGTCAAAATCTATTGAGCCGTTCAGGACTAGTAGCGTTTTGAAGGAAAAAGTTGAGGGACGACTGACGGACGCTGCGCCATGGGATAAAAATTGTCACTATATGGACAGATGACAGTCACTGTGTTACCACAAAGCTCACATGCACAGACAGGGCCCTGATAATTTGAAAAGCTATAATTGGACCTAAACTGAGGTGTTCAGAGAATTTTTATACGATTTCTGAACACCAACACTGGAGGTGTCAATTTATCAACTCCCAAAATGTGTAAAATTACTCTGAACACCTCTATCTGGGTCTAAATATAGCTGTAACAAATTCTCAAGTCCCTGTGCTCACAGCACTTAGTGCCAGAAACTTGCAATGAACACTGTTAACAAGCATATGTATTATTTGTGTGATCTCTTACGTACCTGTTCAAACAAAAATACCATTCATAAACATCATTTTTAAGATTTCTTAGTTTGAAACTCTTCTGTATAGGTGATAGATGTCCCGGTGTGGAGCTCTTTGTGAAATGCAAAGAAGATTCATGTCACAGTAAGGTATATGAAGCGTGTTTTTATTACAACAACTTACTCAGTCAACATATGTCATATAAATGAAGAACAGGCAGAGGAAATAAATTGTAATTTTCATTTATTAACTTCAAAAATTATCAATGTTTGAATACATAATTACACTATCTATAATAGCATCATACATTCCTTCTATTGGAAGCATTACATGCCTAAAAATACACATTTATATATACATGAAATTATTTGTACAAATTCACATCAATAAATAGCAACACTATCGTAACATATTTCTGTCATACAGTTAGTAAATTAAATTTCATGAGCAAAACGTTATCTTCACTGACCAAGTTTTATTTCCAAATAACAGTTATGTAAGTACCTATACTTCAACATCTACCAAACTCATCTGAACTAAAAAAAAAAAAAAGGACAACATACTACAGATTTCTTTGATTTTTTTTTTATCTTGATAATCAAAGGACAATGTTATAAACCCCATATAACTTTGACTTGAGTATAAAAACAGTCATCCACAGCTTAAGTCAATCTGATAAAAGAATTTCTGGCAATACCAGACAAATCTCCCTTGCGACTATCAATAACCCTACTGGTCCCCATGACAGTCTTCACCATTTAAACAGGTTCCACAGGTAATTATAAATAAATGCCTGAAATAATAACGATTATCATAGAATGTGTATTGATTTAATATTGTCTAGAAGAACGCTATCATGAGTTTTGATATAATTCCCGTAGAAACTTGATAAATGTTATTAATTCTTGTAAATGTCAAAGCCATGTAATTCTGAGCCATTCCTCAATTTTGAGCCAACTTCTAAATCAACATTTTTGATAAGGGAAACCACCAGGTAATAGTTTAATACAGTAGAGTTATTGGTAAATACATTGACCTTTTATATAAAATTATGGCAGAAACATGACAGAAAATGTTACTATTGCATAATATTATATACTTTCATAATGCTGTTCACTAAAATATTCATCATAAAAACTTGTAAGCGACTTTCCATTTTAATACAAAGATTTGGTATCTTGTCCACAAATACAGGTATAAAAGCTGTATTTTAAACACAATTCTATGAACTGTTTAATAACATTAACATCACAAAAACAACTATGTCATATATTCTGTAACAAATTAAAGAGACCATCTAATTAATTGTCATGGTACAAAACTGTAAATAAACATTTTTATTTTTGTCTCATTAAATAAAACAAGAGTCCAATTGGGCCTGTATAGTTCACCTATTTCCTTTGTTATTTTAAACTAGACAAGACGTTAATATGTTTCTGCTAATCCTCAAACCATGCTGGCTCTTCAAGATCTCTTACTGAATCCAAAAATTAGAATAACAACACTTGCTAGGAACTTTGGCAGGAAGTTTTTATGAAATTTCTCTTTAAAATTTTAAAATAAAGGGCAATTCCAAGGACATAGTTTTATTTTTGAGGGGGACTGAAACCCATCATTCAAAGGTTCCAATCATTAACATAACAAAAAACTATGTCATATATTCTGTAACAGTATTAAATCCCCTTGCTATGGGAAAGTACCCTTATTATGCTTTTAAAGGAAAAATAGATGGACGAGTCAGGTGAGATAAAACGAAAATGGAAAAGTTTGATTCCCTTCAATGAAAACATTGAGGTAGCAGAGTACAGCAGAAATGGAAGATCCTAAAAATAAAGGGCATGTCTCAGATAAACAGGGATAGTGGATTCAACATGCACAACACACCTATATAATATTCATCAGATATTCTTACAAGAACAAGATATATATTGACCCCCGCAAGTAGTTATCTTTTTCTTAAAACCTGTCTTAAATTAAATATCGCCCATCCGTAACAGACACTTAAGTTTTAGCATTGGACATTCCGGAGGATTTTTCACAATATTTACACATATAATATATATATATATATATAAACTACATTTTAAAAACAATTCGTTCAGAACTCTGATTTTTTTCAAAAACTGTTTTCCCCAGACTTGTGAAAACCATGGTTACCACATCAAAAAACACCAAAAAATCATGATTTTTAACCCAAAATTTGACCCCCGCAAGTAATTATCTTTTTCTTCAAACCAGTCTTAAATTAAATAACGCCCATCCGTAACAGACACTTAAGTTTTAGCATAGGACATCCCGGAGGATTTTTCACAATATTTACACATGTACATGTGCTGAGTACGAAAATAGACTACATGAAAAGCTAGCTTTTGTTGTGTAGACACAGATTAGTAATGTATAGGCCTTGATGTGAATTCAATCAATTGCTCAGAACAGGTGTCACACAATGTAACAACACAGGGTTTATGAAATAAGGTTTTGAAGGTTTTAGATCTGATGAATTTGAATACTGCTGTCTTTTTGTTTTTAAATGTCAAAATTTTGCAACAAAACTACTTATTCCTAGTTCATAATAACGCTTGATATTAATTATACATGTAAACAAGAGGCCCAAGAGGGCCTGTATCGCTCACCTGAATATTTAGGCAGTCATAGCAAAATATTCTCATTAAATATTATATTGCCCTAAAAATATTTCCCTCACAAACTTTGTTGGCTACATCTGTTGAAACTACCAGCAAAATATTATTACAAGATTCTACGCTTTTTGATTCTTCAGAAGTTGCTTGAAATATTTTTCCCTGTGACCTTGTAAGTAGGTCAATGTCATTTTCCTTCTCAAATTGGTAAGCTCTATTCCAAAAGCTACCAGCCAAATCTTATGAATCCATTCCTTTTAGTTCTTAAGAACAAATCCATTAAAATGTTGTTGACCTCTGTGACCTTGAAAGTAGGTCAAGGTCACTTTCATTCGCAAACTTTGTTGGGCTCATTCCCAGGAAATGACCAGCCGAATATTAAGGTTCTATAACTTCCAGTTCTTTAGAAGAAGCCATTTGAAGTTTTTGACACATTTGACCCCTGTGACCTTGAAAGTAGGTCAGTCATTTTCATTCTCCAACTTTGTTGGGCTCCATCCCAGGAACCAATCAGCCAAATATGAAGATTCTATACCTTTTAGTTCTTCAGAAGAAGTTGTATGAAGTTTTTGAAATATTTGACCCCTGTGACCTTTAAAGTAGGTCAAGGTCATTTTCGTTCTCAAACTTTGTAGGGCTCCTCCCAACAAAGCTTTCAGCCAAATATCATGACTCAAGGCCTGTACGTTCTTCAGAAGAAGTTGTTTAAAGGAAAAGTTGACGGACGAGGACGGAAGGACGACGGACGGACGACGGACGCCGCACCACGACATAAGCTCACTTGCCCGAAAAAATTAAACAGGGTGTCTCATGTTTACCTGCAGTTTTAGTATTAACTCATTTGTCCTTGAAATTTGACAATGAACTATTCCAACTATTGAATTGGAAGAATTCAAATGTGTTTTCAGGGGTGAATGAATTAAATGATATTTTCAAGTAATCAATGCTCAAGATTTTGTGGGGGTCTTTCATTTCAACAGATTTTGTTGGTAGGAAAAGCTTAAACATACAATAGAGTTATTTTACCAAATTTGACATACAAGGAAAATTACCTTTTCTAGAAAATCTAAAACAGCAGTATATATCAACAATATCTGAAGTTTTGCTTACCACATCAATGTTCTAAAAATAAACATCAAACCAAACTAACATGATTTCCATCACCTGTCAATCAAACTAAAAACTGCATGGCAAATACATTCTGTAATCAAAATGAATTTTAGTTTGAGGTAAGTTTTCATAAAAACTTTTTTTTATTATGTATGTAAACGTCAAGAACCTTCCTGTATGAATTTTTTTTTTTTTAAATGGAAAACATTTTAAAAACTTTGAAATGCAAACTGAATTAATTTGAAACAAAAGTGTATGCCAGATTTGTTCTTAAAGATTCTTAAAAACCCCCACTGAATAACACTTATTCTGGTAAATAATACTTTGTTAGGTGTATACGGAAGACTAGTTATATTCAATTTCCAAAACTTAACCTCCAATACTTGTTTAAAAGGAAATTGCATTTCAATTGATGTCTAAATCTTATGCTATGTATAAACAATTGTTTGAGTAATACTTTCATTGGCCATCAATGCTGAATATGAATTTACAGAAAAACAAAAATCCAGTGATTTATTCATAAGTTATCAACAGCTATTGGCTGTGGAGTTTTTAAAAAATAAATAGAAAAAAATGTTTCTTATATTAAATCTGCGGTCAATAAAAAAATGTTCCCATAAGTGCCTGAAATTTTCTTCAATAATGAGTATTCACCACAATGATAAATAACTCCAACTTCTGTCAATGCACAAATAGTTAAAAATATTTTAAACATAATTAAAAAGAACTAAATTGAATTTATTTGTTATTTTTGGCAAGATACCATGTTGAATAGCCTACATGCTGCCATCTTTGAATAGTAGCTGAGATTCAAACTCTTGTTCTAGGGCTTGATTTTTCTCATTAGACTCTGCCTTTTTTTTTTAAATGTTTGGGAGATTTTCACAATATACTGAAGTTTTTACTTTCATATTATATTATTTTTAAAAATGTACTTGCTGACATGAAGTGAAATAGATAGATGTGACATCAAAATGATAAAGTATGAAAATTGAATGACTTTACTTGAAATACAACTACCTGGTATTTAGTAAAATAATCTATAGAAATTTATTAAGATATTGAGTTATGAAAACTGCTATACAGTTGTGTTCACTTTATATACACTGACTTGGAAGTGTGAAAAACAACTCAAACTCTGCAAGAAATACTTGACAGTGGTTCAATTGTCAACCTTCAAGAACATCCAAGACTGAAACTGTGTGATCTGTTCGATCAAGTAAGGACGACGACAAAAACAATGATGTTCCAGAGCTTCTATTAAACCATAAACCTCCAATAACTCCATTTTTGCCCCAAACTTGTCTTCCAAATGACAAAAAAACAATAAAGGAAACAGCCATCTAGAATAACTAGATTGAATCACAGCTATTCAATATTGCAAAATAATTATTGTACAACTGCTGTATGTTTCTCATAAATATTGAAATATAGAAATTATTAGAACTTTTAATTTAACCTTCAATAATACAACGAAGTCAGTGAGATTATACACTATAATGTAAAGATAAGTCATGATGCACAATCATGATGTATTTACAATTGCATATTATATATAATACATGGATATACATTTACGTATACAGAAAAATACAATTTGGTACAAGACATTTGTCAGTGTTCAAAATAGACATTCCTTAAATACAACACATACTGAATATCATGTTATACTGTACGTACACAGGGTAGTTTTTATAGCAGTGTTAATTAAACTTACCCTGAAATGCTCTGCTTGATCAGAAGGGAATAAAAAACAACACCAGGAATATACACAAAATGAACACAGCAAGAAACAGTATATTTGTATAAACCATTAAGATCAATGGTAAAACTACAAGCTAAAAACAGTATTTTGCGATTGAGTTTTGGAAATTAATTAGCTTCAGTGCTGTGCATTACAGTCAAACATGTCAAATAAAATTCTTGAAATTCTAATGAACCTGAAGTAACTGAAATATTGAACCTTACATATCAAGTACAGGCATATGTATTTGTGACTTTTTTGTGAACTGAATGAGTTTATCTATGGGTAAGTCCCATTAATTTATGCGAATAGACTTGGACCTTAATACTTAGAAATTATTAAAACAAGATTTGAGGAATATGCCAACAGTTCATAATCAGAATTGATTAAATAAGACCAAGTCCCACTGAAATTATCTCTAGAAAAAAAAAAGATTTTTGCCAATCATGACATTATTTTACTTTCATATACATGTATGTACTACGTCAATATTCCAGAAGAAGCTCAGATGTATACGCCATATTAAGAAAGCTCGGTGATCTTACGCTGGTGTAATACCTAGTAAATGTATGGTAGATATCAATTGTACAAAGGATTACAGTTGCCTTCTAGCTTCGCACTAAACAGAATTTCCGTTGAGCTCAATTGGTAGAGCGGCGGACTGGGAGGCTGGGGGTCACTTGTGTAATCCGTGCTGGGAGGCTGGGGGTCACTTGTGTGATCCGTGCTGGGAGGCTGGGGGTCACTTGTGTGATCCGTGCTGGGAGCACTCTACTCTCTTTCCTGTTACACATATAGTGCACCTCAAAAAATTTATTTGAGATTCTTTTGATCATTTCCTCAACCAAAGCTTGCAAAATGCACATATCTGTGTTAATTATATGCAGGATGAAACATTAACAATAGGTCTAATAGTTTAACATTTGCCCTGGAATATGTGACACCATCATGGCATCACCGTGGATGATATTGCATAGTACATATCAAAAATTTGTGTGGTAGGATAATTATGCTACATATGAGCCAAAAAAATAAATACTTAACATACTACCTAGAGAATAGGAGTACAAAAGAAGAAAGCAGCTTTTTTTCTACAAAATCTTGTTCAGACTTCCCATGATCTTGGTATGCAATGAAATTCCATGTATTATATTGGAATTTAAAAATAAGCAAATGAGAACTTTGCCATCTGGAATACAAAGAACACACTTTTGTCTGCTGTAAGTGTTTTACCTTTGATTTATCATAGAATTTTGATGCTAAGCTGTACGCCTTGCACTAGATCATTGTGAATCCCTGGTTGTCAATGTATTTCTGCGAATTGTACACAATTTCATGTAAATCACCCCCACCCCACTATTTTTTGCAACTTGAACAACAATAACCCCCATTTTTTAAGATCTCAATATGTATAAAGTTTTTAAGTTTTTAAGGATATTCATCATATTAAGTTTCAAATCCTGGGTGGAACAAATTTGGAAACAATTATCACATTACAGGTCACTGTGAACTTAACCTTTGACCTATTGACCCCCAAAAAAATAGGAATTCTTATCATTCATACTTATCCCGCGCAGTTACAAGTACCAAGTGAAGAATTACTTTTTTTCGCATGATACAAGCGTGTAGGCTGCTGTGAGCTTAATTCTCTAGGTGGAGAGTAACCCTACAGTCCAGCAGTGTTTTTTTCACAACTACTTTAATCAATACTATATCTTGACTTTTGACCCCAAAAATCCTTCTTACTCCTACGCAGCCATCTTGTGAAGTCTGATGAATATACAGAAGAGAAAAAACACAACCAATAGTCCAGAAAAACAACTACCGGTATATCTACAGATGAACAAAACAGATAAATCAATGGACAGAGTGAACTTTACAGTATCTCTCTTTCCTCGTAAAATTATCTGTGAAGGTATAAAAAACACTTCCAAATATACTGTACATTATCTACTATAATACAAATTTGAGGTACAACTTTATACAAGTGGACTGAACAGAAGCATTAATAAACACTGAAGGATCATGAACCCATATCGTTACCGCCGGAGTTGTTGGAGCTTTACAACTTTTTTGGGTTGTCGGTGTGGTACGTCAATTCCCATTCCCTTCAGTTGAATGCTTCTTTTCTCTTCGTGGTTCATCCAGTCTTCCTTCGAGATGTTTTTGGCACTATCTATGATTGAGCGATGAACTCTCTCTTTCTCTCCTTTGGACAGTTTGACACCTTTTGCAAACCTCTCTGTTGCCTTGCCCCGATTATAGCCTTTAACTTTAACTAGTCCTTGAATTATAGCCTGTAAGAAAATAAAAGAATGTATTCTCCTTTGACAAACTTTCCCTACATTTTTAGCAAGTCTACAGTTGAAAAATATCCTAGTGAAAACAGAAACAATATTTCAGGGTTTTTTCACAGTAAGTTAACCAACAAGAGAGCAGCTTTTGCTGTAAAAATGACATCAACGTATTGTTGCACAGTTGATGAAATGGCCAAGCAAAACATTTTTTTAGGGGTGAGGTTGAGTATATGTAATACGTGTCAAAAATCATCAACAAATTTCTCTACTAGACATTTAAGATGCAACCACAGTTAAATTATAATTTGGACATCGGTAGTGAGTAGACCTAACCTTGCATCACATGGTCAAATTATACTGTACGCGTAATGAGAAAAGGCCTTAGCTTCCCACAGAAGCTTACAGAGACAACACTGAAAGGAATCAGTGGAAAACACTGAGGTCTGAATTGCTACCACTACAAGGAACTTAGCATATTGAATTAAATTTACTGTTAAAAAAAGGTAATTTATCTAACAAGATACATTACTGTATGGTTGTTCAATATCCCGCGCGACTATTTCGCAGTTGTATAGATTGGAATCCAGCTCCAATTTACAGTTGAGTATTGCTTACCATTCCATAACAGCATGTACATCAGAATCTGAATTGTTTTTATAGAATTGTTTAGCAGCAATCCTAGTAGAGTAGGGCTTGAAATGAAGTCGGTATCAACTTAACACTGCCACAGAATTGACAGCTGATAAAGTTTGGTCGACAGGTTTTTCAACAGTAAAAAGGTGAACATGTCTATACATTTCTAAAAGGTGAACATGTCTATACATGTTTTTGTGTCTGTAGGTATCATATATAAATATAGCGTTTATGATTCATGGTAAAGAAGTCACAGGTGTGTCACAAATCTGTGATGACCACAAAGACAGCAAAATTCAATCTCCCATGAATAATGCTTACTATATACATTACTGAGAGTGTTACCTCTGGTATCCAAACGTCCATTACATAGTCATAGTTCGGGAGCTGATCAGGTGTCTGGCCTTGGACTTCTTGGTGCCACTTAATTAACATCGTGATAATGTCATCTTGCTGAAACCAGAAATAAACTAATTTTAAAGGCTACTACAAAAATCATGTACTGTACCATTGTAATTCTATTTAATGTCTTGCTTTGGTAACATTTTTTCAAATGGTGGGGAGAGCAGGAGGGTTGGGAAAGGTACAGGTTTTCCACTTTCCAAAACAAGAGTACTGCTCGGGCAGAACCATATACGCCTGAAACATCCATGCAGCATCAATTTCACACTCATTGTATGATAAAGTGTTAATACTCAGAATCGGTCAAAACAAAGTGATAAATGGTGAACAAATGGGCATAAATCTAGATATTTTAGGACACAAGATTAGGGCTGCTTTCGTTTATCGCTATCCAAAAGGTTGAACCGGCTTGACAAGAGTTGACCATTTATATTTAGTCAGACCTAGAAATCTGATGCTGCTTTCAAACGAGCCTTGACAAAGCCTTGCAAGGCCTGCATAAACATTCGCAGGTCCGCCAGGATTTATACCCGAAAATGTTACATTTAAAAACAGATAAACCGGTTGTTCCGCATAAATGAATAGGCACCAAATTTCACTACACAATACATATGCTCTGCTATACCAAGAGGAACCAAGGGGCATAACTCTGAATATCGTAGGACATAAGTACCAATTATACTGTACACTGCTTTGCTATTCTAAGAGGTACCTGCATCCAAAGTTTTACAGTACTGTTGTAATTCAATAGTGGAGAATGTATGAGATATTATCCAGACAAATTGATGCACAGAATGATGGACAGATTGCAAACATGTAGTCCCTCCCCCCCTACCCAGTAGTACCTGTTGTAGGATCAATAAACTGCCACAGGAAAAAACATTGACTTCTTAATAAAATAAACAACTTAATTTGTACTATAAAACATGTTTATAACAAAACCGAGCAGTCTAAGAAATAAATTCACAATAGTCCTTTTTCTTTATCGAGTTTGACGTTCTCCAAAAAAATCCTTCTTGGGAACAAAATTATTATTTAATTGGTAAACACTAAGCATGTTCGTATTACTATTCAGCAATCTTTACTCTTGTCTTTTTCTATGCATATTTTTTTGGAATTATCTCAAGTTTTTTTTAAATTGTTCTTGACAATTTCTTCAGACACCAAAATCTTAACTATTAAGATTCACTAAAAGCCACAATGCAGACCTGTTCTTCATCAGCTATCGGTCCAAAACCAGCATGTCTTATGGCAGTCTTTTCTTTTGTCCTTTCACTATTATATTTGGTGTGTCTCTCGCTCTTTTTCTCCCCATGGTAAATCTTTACCAGGTATTTCTGTAGAATTGTAAATATTCAGAAGTTTATAAATCAGAAGAATACCTGAGCCAACACTGAAGTTGTATTTCTTACCTCGGCATTCCCTTCTTCAAGTTTAGTCTTATGTTACAAAGTAAACTTACAAAACCTGATGTGATATTTTTTTTTCTCATTTGAAAAGAGGAGCTACATTGTAATTAAAAGAAAGGAAGTAAAAATATTTTTTCATTCAATTTTATAATTGTATATTAAGTACTATATAATACAGCAAATTCCTGTTTTTTACCCGTTTAAATTTTGTTTCCAACAAAAGTTCTGAAAATGAAAGAGCTTCTTTGCCACTCAAAAACATAACTACCTTTTTTAGTCATTTGAGAAAGCTCATCTTTTTGAAGGAATTGAAATTCAATTTCTTACAAATTACAATATGTTGTACACCAGAAATTTTCTCCCAGACATTTTTTTGCCCTTCGACAGTAAAATCTATTTTCACCCAATATCAACTTTGCCCTTCACATTTAATTACTATGTATATTGTGCTGTTACATAATTTTGCATATATTAAGGAGGGCAAAAAATATGAAAAAATTAAATGCAGTGAAAAATTCTCTGTATACAAATGTTTATGTTTAAGGTGAAGATGAATTTCTCATAACAAATATGGAAACATACCTTCATTTCTTCAGACTTTATATATGCTATCACGTTCTGATTCCTCAATTTCATCTTTTCATACCTGGAAATTTTGTAGAAAAAATATAAGATATAATAGGAGTGAACCATGAAACAATCACGTTAAGTACAGAGGTGTAATGATATCCCTGAGAACAGCTAAATGCATACAAAACTTTCCACATTAGAATCTTTATTATATAAATGATATTTCTAACTTTTAACTCATTCACCCCTGAAGACACATTTGAACTCTTCCAATTAAAATGTTGGAATAGTTCATTATGAAATTTCAGTGGGAATGACTTCAGGCAAAAACTTTAAAAAAACCACTTCCAATTTCTATTATGATACAATCAGTATGTGATTAGTATTCACTTTAAGTGAACCAGTGTAGGACAAAGGCCAACTAAAACCCTGTTCCACAACATGATAAAATAAAAACTTGCAATGTAGATCTTTTCTGAGATGACAGATGGATGTGTAATTTCAGTCACAAATGAGGTAAATAGGAGAAGTTGTGCAAACAAGTTTCCATCCACTGACAGTCAATCTGATCCCAGTATACTCTGCCCTCTACTGTACTGTGTTTGACATAAACTAACTACTGACTGTATTACATGAAATGTATTTAGTCTTTCTCTAGAGCTTCCTGTACACAGAGGAAACAAACCTAAGCTTGTCAACAAACTGCAGCAGGTTGGCATGTGAAAAGGTTTCTTTAATAAATAACTATGCCCAATGCCTTTAAATAATTTATAAGGACTACTGCAGTTACTGTACATGTTCTAAGGATATACATACTCATAAAAAAAATTGTGAACTGGACATATTTAGGACAGATGAGAAACCGGAGTCACTCTTGTATTTGATGTAGCTTACCGTTCCCGATCCTTGGGGTTAGTGAGATCATCTAGAGGCTGAATGTCTCCACTAGCTGATGAACACTCACTCGTACTGTCAGACACTGATGGGCCGCAGTCCATAAAATCTGGAATCTTTCCATCCTCCGAATCTGTTGGACATAAACTTTGTCTAGAGCAATGTGGAGGGAACTCACAACAAAAATATAACAATATTCATGAAAATATAAAATCTTGTTAGGCAAAAAGATTAAAATAAAATTTTAGTGTATCAGATAATAATAATTATCTGATACACTAATTATTTTATTATAACTTACATGCAACATTGTTTTATTTTATTTTAAATTTTGTCACAGATTAAAACATGTTTTACCATGACCAGCTTTAACAAACCTCCTAGACTCGCTCTACTACGGTTCCAAACAATAACACCTGTTATTTTGTTTCCTTACCTGCAGCAAGAGGAGGTGTTGAATTTCAGCTCCAAACATTCCCAGTGATAAGTTCACTGTCACTGTTAACTTTCTTTACTGAACCGTGATGTTAAACATCTCAGACAAGTACACAGAATCCCTGTGTTTCGATGGCTATCTCCGATTGTGTCAGGGTTACTTGTGCATTTGAACTGTTACCACTGAGATAGCTAATCATTTGAATTACTGTTACCACTGAGATAGCTAATCATTTGAATTACTGTTACCACCAAGATAGCTAATCATTTGAATTACTGTAACAACACAAGAGGTCAATCAAGCTTCCTTATATCAATAGCTGGCTAGCCATTTATTATAGTGCTGGCCACTAGCTCAAAAAAGCTATAGTGTATACATGAGCAGTGGAGACAGTTTTTGCCCTAGCCTACAGTAATTAAATGGAGTGATCCAAGGGGGGATGAAAATTTAGAATTATAGTCAAATCAAAATCAGGAGATCTCCATGTCTACATAGAAGATTGCTGTTTTGACGCTCGATACTGATCACAGAACTTTTGCAAGAACAGTGTATTTTGACTGTAACAGCTGTACCTGATTCATAAGTATCTGGGAGACCAGGAATGCCCTTCTTCCAACGTCCTAGGACTTTCTTGTCCAGGTACTCCTCTGCTACCTCACAGGCCTTGGAAAATTGAGCACTGTTTTCCTCCTGTAGATTGTCCAGGATCTGAAATGATTGAATGAAGATATACTGAAAGTCAAAAGTTTTGTCCAAAATCTAAGTGTCTGCTAAGAAACCAACATTTTTGTTTACATTCAAAATCATTTCCCTATATAAATACAAGAGTAGAATTGGTTCTATTCACTCAAATGTTTTGAGAAAAGATCATGTGTTTGATAATCTAAACAGACTGCTGGTTCACCTTCCTAAACTCAGCAAAAATTGACAGCATATTGAAGTATCTAGCACTTCCTGAAATCCTTCTTATTATACAATATATTTAATTGATACATTTAACTCATTCCCAAATATTTCAGCAGAAATTTCACTTCCATGGTCTTATTATTATCCTTTAGGCATGTGTCAGTGGATACAGAGGTAAAATGGTCATTGGGTTAAATCTCATATTAATTATTGTGTGAAGATCAATGCCTTCTCATTGTTTTATTTTTTACAGTAAAATCTGTTATCTATTACTTTGGTTTGTTTGGTTTGTTTGTAATTTACGTCCTATAACAGCTATGGTCATTTAAGGATATGCCAGGTTTTTGTGGTGGAGGAAATCCGAGTTCCCAGAAAAAAACCAGGGACCTACGACCAGTACCTGGCGACTGCCCCGCATAGGAGTTGAACCCGCAACCCAGTGGTGGAGGCCTAGTGGTAGCAGAATGTCAGAAGCATTAACCACTTGGCCACTGCGGCCCCTATTTCTTATCTGATACACATGAACTCTATTTTACTGATTCAAGAACAATTAAAGATTATTTTAAAGTTATTTCACACAAAAAATCATCAATATTCTTTTCACCATATTCCCCTCATGTTTCACAAGTTGAAAAAGCAAATTTGTGGAACTTATATCCCCCCGCTTTCAGGACATTTTGTTGGTAAACAGTATTGAGGTTAGGTTTAAACATGCGAGTATCGTGCTGTTTAGACATAATGTATAGCTTGAAAGTTGAAGAAAAAAAAAGCCTTATCTAATATTTGCTAGAGTTATTAAGCGGAAACAGCAGATAATGTCTCTGCGAAATGGAGTCCGATTGAAGTGGTTGTCAAACTTGGCCGAGCCGTCGTTGTGTTGAACCCTGTTACTAAGTTTGAAGACAATCGGATAATATTTGCAAGAGTTAATGAACAGAAACAGCAGATAATGACGTTTTTGATTATTCAAGGGGCCATAACTCCGCCAAATAAAGTTCGCTGAAAGTGGTCATTCAACTTGGCTGAGCCCTTAAGTCATTTAACCATGTGACCAAGTTTGAAGAAAATTGGTTAACATTGTTGTAGTTATTGCACAGAAACCACAGATAACAATATTTTTCGCTATTCAAAGGGCCATAACTCCGCCAAATAAAGTCTGCTGAAAGTGGTCGTCAAACTTAGCCGAGCCCTTAAGGCATATAACCCTGTAACCAAGTTTGAAGAAAATCGGTTAGCATTTGTTGTAGTTATTGCACGGAATTGAAGCGTGGCAGATACTGATGTTTTTCATTATTCAAGGGGACATAACTCCGCCAAATGGGGTCCGCTGGAAGTGGTTATCAAACTTGGCCGAGCCCTTAAGGCATTTAACCATGTGACCAAGTTTGAAGAAAATCGGTCAACATTTGTTGTAGTTATTGCACGGAAACAAAGCTTGACAGACAGACAGACTAACCCAAATTAATATCCCCTGTTTCGGTGAAAGCGTGGGATAAAAATGTACACAGTTTACCTTTTTCTTCTCCTTGTCATTGAAGGAGAGGGCAGTCTTTCTTTTGTAATGCAAGGTTATCCTTTAAAAGAAATATTCATTATAACACAATCAGTTTCATATATAGTATATATACTTTTTTTAACACACGTATAAAAGACTACAATTCTTATAGTGAAATAAATCAATAACAATATAATCTTATTTTAGTAAATGAATAAATTAATTAAAAAGACAAATATCATCATACAGTTTATCAAAATTCCCACCCTGTGAACCAGCCATTCAAATCGATATGTCTCACCTGTGCTCCGCTTTCACCATCAATGCACATGTCAAGTTTGGTTGGTCTAGCAATTATAGTTTTTGAGATCCTAACTTAAAGGTAGGCCGCATCTAGTAGTTGATGCATGAGTTGAGATCTACTAACTAAGATGCATCTATGGTGCAAGTTTGGTTGGTCTAGCACTTATGCTTTCAGTGAAACTAACTAAAACGCAAAACCCTAGTCATCGCCGGAAAAGCAACACCTTAGTCTCGCTTCCGCTACTTTGTGGCGGCGAGTCAAAAACAAAATGTTGACAATTGATTTCCTGACACCATTGTATTTCTGACACCATTGTCATTACACTCACTTTTCAACAGGAGTATTTTCCATCGGCTGTATGAAGATTACAGATATTTTCCAGGGCAGCTGCTTTTTCCAGTAAATTTTCTTTACCTGTTGAAATGTAACAGACAATTTAAAAGTTAAATGTTCATTCCTGTCTGCACAGCCTTTTATAGTATTGTAATTGTTCATAGTAAGATTTGTCAATGTAAAATTTCATGATTTTGTCCATGAAAAACTGCAAATGAACTTTCAAAAGTACCTCTTTATCTAAATAACATGAATTCTAGACTTACGTAAGCCGGCCAGAAGGGATGTTTTCTCCATCTGATCAATATGATATCCTTTTCTGAAACAGGTGGACCTGTAACAAACCAAATAGGTTAATAACATTCTATAACATTCTAAGAATCTACATCAAAAGTTTACTGACATTCAGAGGCAGAGCTGTACAACCGTGGCGATAAATCTTATTCATTCGGGACAAAAATTCAGCATTATTGAATTTTACATTTTTAAATAACTTAAATATGAAATGATATGATATGCAGTGTTTTATCTACCTTTTTGACAGAGTGAGTCATTTCCTTACACATTTGAAAAAAAACATTGAGTCATTAGATGTAAAACTCGAGAATTTTCAAAAATTCACTAGGTCAAATTGAAAAAATGTCATTTGACTAGTGACTCTCAGGTTAATAAACACTTCTACAAGCATTTCTACATGTTTTTTCCAAATTCCTTTTTTTTGTTCCACTTGAACATTTCAGGAAGATTTCACTTTAAAGTGGTCTGTAACTGGCTCTATCACCATTTACACCATCTTCACATAACTACCTGTTGTAAGGACAAGAGACCTTGAACCATCAAACCCTTTATAGGAGACAGGACCAGATAACAGTGTTCAATAGGTGATCAGTCCATAGCCATTGGCTATACTGTACCTTAGAGTAACGGATGCTTGTACAAACTCTACCAAAAGGATTTGGGGAACATTACACACGTTCTTGAGATACTTATCAAGCTCCTTTCCAGGACCACACAACATGTAACCTACCTCCTACAATAGGTGATAGTCCATCAGGAAGTTCAAGGTCACTATCGGAGGAATCACACGAGTCTTTCTGCAAATTGGGGTCAAAGGACAGTCTGAAAGTGAAACAAACCGTTAATAGCAAGATTCTTCTCCTTACATTAAGTTAAAAATATATATCAATTTTACTGAAGTATTCAAACATACTGCTGTTGAAGATGCACCGTCAAATAAACACATGTTGATATTTTATCGCTTTTACATTAAAGGATATATATATTATAAATGGTTGAATGGTGTTTGAATAGTTATAAAATTTATAAATCATAATACTTATAAGTCTATTATCAATGGTCGAGATTTACCTTGTGCTGAAAGACACACTCCTGTCTGCTGGGGTTGGGGTTGGCAAATCGAAGGAACAGCTGCTGTCATTGAGATTCGGCAATGGTGACAGAATACCCGAAGATGATCCATAATCGCTAGTGTACAATGATACAGACTCTCTCAAAGGCGACGCACAACCATCATATTTTTCGATAAAACTTGAATCCAGGTCTTTAACACTTTTATGACACACATCAACAGATTTTGTACAGTTCGTTGACTTTTTAAATGCTAGTTTTGTCTGTCCAGTTTTCAAACTTTTGATAGATGGTTCAGTGTTAACTTCAGTCAATAAATCTGAGGAACTATCAAGTTCAAAATCAGGCAGCACATTTATTTTTCGACTTGGTTCAAGAGAGCACCTCCGCTTTTTATTTGAAATTTTCTTCCTTGCTTTTTCCTCATGAACATCTTTATGTTTTCTTTTTGTCGTGAAGTTTCCATTTTCTGGGTTTGATTTTCTTCTTTGTTTAACATTTTTTGTCGCAATTATACATTTACTGGTTTGCTGGTCTCCATGGTCGGTATGCTGTTTGGAGAATAGAGAAATGTCACTTTGCTTCTCGGCCAGCTGTACGGCGGCTTCGAACGCATCTGAGAAGAGCTTTGTAGATAATCCTGGAAACAAGCAAAAAAGAATGTTAGAAAACTGTATAACAATTCAACCTGAACAATATATAATTCTGTAAACAATCATATTAGAATATTTACATAAATCTACACACTAGAATTGTATAAAGAATCTGATATGAGTACTAGTATGTACAAGTATACTATATTTAATATCTCTGTAAATATTTATATTGGAACAAATAGGTATTCTACAAACTAAATGTAAAAATAATAAGAACAAAGAACTAGCAAGTTTATGTCATAATATAATTTTCAGATCAAATATGATGTATATTTCATTAAAAATGGAAGTTGAGAATTTCGAAAACTGGACCTACCTTTTCGAGTCAACAATTTTCCATCTTGACAGTCCAGCCTCTGTATCCATTTTAAATCAGTGATGTCGTCACTGCGAAACAAATCAATTTTGATTTATTTAAAAAAGAGATCTGATGTGTAAAGATTTATGAAATAAGACTAGAGGTGAACTCTGTAACATAATTATGCCTCTTACCCTAATGTCAGTACTTTATGATTGAGATTTGCAAATTAACAGCAATAGCCTCATACATCACATCAAACACCAGGGCCCGCATTCATGAACCATTCTCGTGCTCATGCATGGTGTTTGTGCTCAAGCCTAATTTCTTGTTCCGTTTATAAATTAATAACTAAAGATAATCTTATTTTGTCACTAATTTGAAGAGACTTAAAGATGAATACTATTTTCAATGTTTCCATTTGCCTTTTGTTCGATGCGCATGATTTAAGCGAGTAACAAAAAAAATGGTTTTAGCACAAAAATCATGCTTGAGCACAGGAATGGTTTCATGACAATGGGCCCTGATGTACTGTGCAGGTGAGCACATACTTCTGTATTTTATTACATTCATAACTGGATCTTTTGTAAATGACATTGGTAGGTAACCTAGCTAGTTCAACAGATGGTAATCAATATTTGTGAACATACTTGTACACTATAAGTTTACCCTATACATAGGCATTGCATAGTATCTAGATGATATATATGTATGTATATCCTGATCGTGAATGCGTTCACAGTCTGTTAATCAGCAGTCAGCTGGTGTAACACTTTTCACTGGTCAAATTAATATACATCAACCTTTATTTTGGAAGGTCATCAGGTACATCAGATTGCATTACTAATGCATTGTAGTACTCATACTACAAATACAATCGAGGACTCGAGTAAAAGTTCCAACATTGTGCTCAATATATAATCATGACACAATTTTACATGAGAATATTATAACTAACAAGTAAGTTTAGAGTGGTAGATAAAATTAACTGATTTTTCTATCATTTCTATATAAATTTCCATATGTTCTGAAGAAATAGAAGATTGTTTGAATGGTTCATTTATAACTTACAAGGAATTTTCATTAATAAACTTGACATGAGCTAAAATCTTCTTTTTATTTGCACCGACAGTACTGTGAAATATTGCACACTCTCCTTCAGCAACCACCTAAAAACCAAAAAGAGAATTGCTGTTTTCACATGTACAACATTCAATGTAACATCATAAATGATATCTGTTCGACATAGAACATTTTTGAATGAGATTGAAAAGACCAGAAAACCTAATAAACCATCATATAAATGATAAGTCATACATGTATGTTTATATTATCAGAGCTTTGCATTTAGACATATTCCTGTAATGGTGTTATAACATTCAGAATCCAACTGATATTTAATTAATTTCATAAACTCAACTATAATCACACTGACAATTAAGTTTCATTTTTTAACACTTTGTATCTTATTCTAGATACATTTTCGTCTAGAACAAAAAGTTCTTGATGAATCTCTCTACAAAGTTGTACTGGTAGCTTTACCTGAGCTGGCCACCATGGGTGCCTGGGGATCTTCGCCCAAACAAAGTCACCTGGCTTGTATACAGTACATTGATCCATTCTGTAAACATATTATAAAACCATACAATAATTGTTTTTAAAACTTACCCTCAGGGATTTACAATCATACATCTTAAGCTTGGTGGCAGATTTTGAAAGATTCTACTAGCCTGACCGATATTTTCATAGTACTAACAAGTATTGACAATTTTCACTAGCCCTCAAGTTCAGCATAAATTTTAAATGCTCTGAGCCCGCTCTGAGGCAAATGGTATTGAAATCCATACAATAGATTTCTCAGTCTGAGAGGATGTCAAATTTAATTTTGTTACATTTTTGAGCTCTGGTACTGGTAGAATGCTGTGGTAATCATGATATGATCAACACTACTCTTGCAGGCCACTGCTGGTTTGCATTTAATTGGTGACTTTGCAAATTAATTGACATGCAGTGTACCATCACATGCCAGTTAAACTCAATCAGTATCAGCTGTCTCTCTGCCAAAAATATGTCTTCTTCTATTCATTTGTACTTCTATATGCAAATCAAATCTGCCACACAGTTTTAAAGTGCTGGTACTGCATACTTCAGTGTACTTAAATAGTACATCTAATGATTAATCCAATGATGTAAAATGCTGAAACCGTACAGTGTATCTTAGACCTAGTTTTACACTGTTCGAGGACATTTGTAAGCTGGGCTCCATGCTAAGAATAAAAGCGTTAAGACTCGTCACAATATATTACTTAATGTCATATTCGATTACAGTAAGGTTTTACTGTAAGTATTCAGAACTGGAGTCAAGTATATTATGCTGCTCAGTGCAAAACATTAGGGAACCGAAAGCTTTCATTCATAGTATTATCACGCGTAGCAAACACACTGCAAGTAAAATCATTACAAAGTAACGGATGCATGTGTGTAACGACAAACATACGTATACAATTCGAATACTTACACTAATGTTTGTCGAAATCTGATTCCATACCCCTACATTACGCTTCCCACAGACGCTAGTGGAACCAGAGCGGAAGTAGACCTTGGCGCCTGCGCACTTCAGTACATTACTCAGCCCCAACGGGATGTCGCTACATTTGACACACTTGACTCCACCCTGTGAGGTGTCAAACTCAATATAAGTGTCATTATAGTTATTGATTGTAACCACTTGCTAATTGGTCGATCTATTATTACTTACATGTGTATATGAATATATAATACCGCACGTTTTTCTTTCTATTTAGCCTAACCTATAAAAGATTACTAGGTACATATATATATATATATGTAATATGTAATATATAAGACATATATATATATATGTAATATAAATTCCAAAACTTGAATTATTGTCCCTCTCCAGAATTCCTTAAAATAGCTCAAGTCTAATATACGGGATTCACGCAGATGTAAACAAAGGTTAACAGATCAGCCTCTGACATCTATTGAAAACTGATCATCTCACAACTTGAATTAAGGTACATATATGGGGTCACCTGCCCGACCAGCTAGGTACTCCGGTTTCCTCCCACATTAGGACTAAGACCCAACCGAGCTAACATCCGGGCCAAGCAAGAGTGATAAATATAAATTGAAATAACTTCTTTCATCATTTTTGTAAAACCAAGTAAGCTTTATATTTGTTTTTATATTTTACGTTGAATGGCTTAATATATACGTACGTTTCTGTTTAGACTTTCTCTACAAAAATATATGCGTCTTAATTATTAAGTCGCATTTTGTTCTTCTAGCAGTTCAGTTCAGCTCACTGGGCTGAGCATTAATTACACGAAAAAGGTGACGAAATCTCCATCATTGAATTACTGAAATGGAGATTGTTACTTTTGGGAAGATAGCTAGAAAACCTTACAAGTAAACCAAATTAATTGCTACTTCTGTAACACACCGACAGCTTCACATGATGGTATACATTAAAGCCTAGCATTGACTTTCGTATTACTGTAATGTAAGAATTTATTGAAATGTCAATTTGGGACAGGTTCGGCCCATACAACACATGGTGAAACTCGCGGGAACGTCCGACGTTGCATGCTTTATGATTGACGTCATATAATTATTCCGGATCCGACTTGAGCCGAACAGCTCGTTCTCGATTCCCCTATTTTAGAAAAGGAAATATTGGGGAAAGTATGTTGTTAGAAGTATTTTAGTCTGTTTCTGGGTAATATTGGCAGCATTTTACTGTATTTCACCTGTGATATCACCTGTATGTAGAACCTGTTCTATATGTAAGATTATAATTAAGTAAGGATTTGTAGCTGGAAGCTGGTCGTGCTTATAATATCATATCGCATGATATATTAAGACTTTTAATAACAACAAAAATCATATTAAATTGTATTCATTTGAGGATTGCGATGCTGAACTGACATTTGATAAATATATATTTGTATTTGTTCTGTAATAATTTTAAATGAAGAAATTATTAAAAAATAAAAAAAAAAAAACTTGACACATTAAATAGTAGCATGTTCTCCAGAACTTAATAATACTAGATCACTTACCACAAGAAAAATTCCCATAAGTCTTTTTTAAATGCCACTTATCACAAGGTGCTCTGCGTGTTTCTCCATAACACGGAGCGATATTGAAGGATTGGTTGAGCTAGATGTTTGTATACTTTATTGAACAATGTCTAAGACATTCCTCCAGTTGAGACCACAGGGACCCGAACAATTACTACATCTATATTTAGACATAAACCACAGAATTAGATCTTAGTCCGTGCCTAAAATAAGCTGTGCAGAGTAATCTTGCATGTTTTAGGGGTTTAGATCGACTTTCGGTAAAAATGACACCCCCAATATATTCGTATATATATGATCATTGGGGTGTTATTTTACCGAAAGTCGATCTAAACCCCTAAAACATGTAAAATTATTCTGAACACCTTAGTTTAGGTCCAAATATATAGCTGTAACAAATTTTAGAGCCCTGTGGTCCAGATAAGTGTTGGGGTAAGAACACGTAACATGTCATGATAGGACAAATCTTTTTTGTTTTCAAACATAATTAATTCTTATCAACTTAATTTGAACAATCCGATGATTAACATATATTACCAACCCACAGGCCAAATAAATAATAGACTGAATGACTTTTGTGTTCTCAGTTTAATGGAGAAAACCAGTTTTAGGGAGTATATGCTCCCAATTGCAGTAAATATTGCAAGTATTTTTGTTGAGTTTTTTGTATCATAATAATGGTTGGAATGTATTTCACAAGATATGATGGTAGTTCTACTAAGCAATGCATAATAATCGTTGTTTTAAAAATAAAACCGGGAGCACATTTCTAAGCACACCTTTAACACTTACATCGCTGTTAGTCATTGAAGTCCTATATACATGTACCATCAAACAACTTCTTAAAATAATTATTTCTAATGTAAGCCTCCTATATTCCTAATGTATCTACATGAGGGCTGACGACAAGGTCACTCTAAGTTCGATGAGTATAGAACTGCGTTTTCTCAAGGTTGAACTGAACTCTGAGGTTTTACCTTCCCACTTTTTCTTTCTCTTTGTAAATGTTATCTTCGTTGGTCTGAACAGGATTATATATGAGTCATTATCAGAAATTGTCAATTTTCTGAATTGAAAAAAATGCAAAAACAACATCAATAAACAATCAATTTTATATAACCAAACTGAAGTACATATATCAGTATTTAATTATTTCAATACCGGAAATCTGAAATATTACCTGTTTGGTTACCATAGCAACGGAAATTTGGTAATTAAGGTAAAAATGTCCATTATGTTACCAATTTTAAAATTGATTTTT